CTCCTTGGAGGTAGCTGACTCCAGCCCAAATCTAGAGCATTGAGCACTTTATTTCCCATGATCCAGTGAAGTTTCTCTAGTCCCCAGTCCTCTCCTTTCACCCACCTTCCTCAGTTTGCTCCCTCACCCCAGACCTAGCCCTTCGGACCTCTAGACAGGCAGCCTCCTCCCCCGTGGAGTCCAGCAGTCACTCTGTGCTCTCCTGGCTCTCCTCCCCTAAGTTATTGCTGTTCTCCCGCTGTGTGTGCCCATCCTCACCCTCATTGACTCAGGCCTGGGGCCAGGGGTGGCGGAGGGTGGGAAGAGTCATGTTTTTTTTCTCCTCTTTGATTTTGTTTTTCTGTCTCCCTTCCAACCTGTCCCCTTCCCCCCACCAAAAAAAACGAAAAAGACAAACACAAATAAAATATCTGAGCGGAACTGTGCCTTTGGCCCAGGCTGCCTCTGTCTGCTTTGTCCTGCCGCCTAGCCTCCCTGGTATGCCCCCAGGCTGACCCTTGGCCCGACTCCATAACCTCTTCACCCCACCTCCGTTATCTCAGCCCCTCTCCTCAGCCTCATGCTCTCTGCCTTCATAGCTTCATTGTACCATGACTGCCACCGGCTCTGGGACCTGGGCCCCTGTAGAACTTCACCGAACTTCTTGGTCCCACAGAGCCCCTGTTTGTGGGTTCCTTCCAGAGCCCTTAGTTTCCAGGCCCTTGGTCTCCTCATCCCCTGCCTTTTCTCCCAACCCGTTCCCTCCGTGGTTCCCGGCTGCTGGGGGCCAAATTGCTCTCCTGCATCAGGCATTACCCTAGTGGGTTGGGGGCCCTCCATAGTAGGGGGTGCTGAGCTGGGGGCAACCAGGCGGAGTATGGGGGCCGTGGCAGCAGGATCGGGTGTGGGCCTGAAGTGGGAGTGAGTGTGTGAGGGGCCGGGCTGGAATGCGGATCTGGTCAGGGTGGCAGCTCCTGGCCGGTTGAACTTGTCAGGCCCTTTTTGGCCACCTCCTTTGCCCCCTTCTTTTCTGTGGCCCAAAATGGGACAGCCCCTTCTTACCCTTTCTAGCTCGGTGCTTCTCCTCCTTCCCTGCCTTCCTCCCTGAGGTGCTGGACCTGGGACTTCCTGTGTCTGTCCTTAGTTGTGTTGCTTTCTTCATAGGTGTTTTGTGTGACTGGTTCTTCTTGCTTGTTATTGTGCACGTTCTCATATTTGCTCACGTGCTTCTGTCTCTAGGTCACAATCTCTCCCTCTTTGCCTGGTCAGAGCTTCCAAGATCCTCAGTTCCCCGTCCAGTAACTCTGATGTTCTTTCTCGTGGGTATCCCACCCAACTCCGTGCACATGCTCTTGAAAACTTGTCTTCTTTGCATCTCTTGCCCATCGAGACCTTCCTGATCTCTCTCTCTCAACACGATCCCACCTCTCCATGTCTGTCTGTATACAGCTCCCCCCACCCCCTCTGTCTAACATGTTTTCTGTTTCTCTCCCTCTCCCTGTCTCTGCTTCTGTCTCCTCTCCTCTTCTCTCTCTTCTCCCCGTTTCCCCTGGTTGTTCCTCCTCCTCCTTTTCCTACTCCTCCCTGCCCCCATCTCCCCTTGATCCATCCACTGCATAGTCTAAGGAGCTGCAGATCAAGAAGCAGTTCCAGGAGACGTGTAAGATCCAGACTCGGCAGTACAAGGCTCTGCGAGCGCACTTGCTGGAGACCACGCCCAAAGCTCAGCACAAGAGCCTCCTTAAGCGGCTCAAGGAAGAGCAGACCCGCAAGCTGGCGATCTTGGCCGAGCAATATGACCAGTCCATCTCAGAGATGCTCAGCTCGCAGGCGGTGAGGCCTGGGGCCCAGGGAGGGATCGAGGTAGAGGCTGGGCTCTGTACTTTGCTTTAGTGAAGTGGACGTGTGGCGTGCACAGAGCTAGGGCTTTTTTACTTGGGAAACTCACATACTCTTTCTCTGATAGTGTTCTCCACAGTGATTTGATTATTTCATATTCTCCTCAATGGTTTTATTCTTTCTCTCAGTTTTTTCTGAAGGTCTTGAAAAAGCCATGTGCCTATTCTCCCAAGAACCATGAAGGAAAAGAGTGGCTGTTATTTTTTCCTGGGCCTGAGTTAGTTTAATGGGTAAACGGTGCAGATTAAAGTGTGTAGCCCGCAAGCCCATTTACTCAGACTTCTGGAGGATTTTGAAAGTTGCTGTTCTAAAAAAATACCACACCTAACACTGGAATGGGCCACTTTAAAAAACTAATGTACATAGAGAGTAGAGAGTGGAAATGCCCCACCTAAGGCTGTTAACTCACCTAGTCCCACTTCTCACAGGTAACTTGTTAATAATTAACTGTATTTTGTGTTTTTTCAGTGCACATTTTGAAAACATATGAATTTTAGACAAGATGGAATCACACTGTACATTCACTATTCTCTAACTTCCTTTTTCCACTTACTACTTGGACATCTCCCCCTGTCAGTACACCTGTCTCATTTTTTTACAGCATAGAATTTTCCATGGTATGGCTGTACCATAATTTATTTAACCCATCCCTTATTGGTGGACATTTAGGTTGTTTCCAGTATTTTGCTATCACAACGCTTCCGTGAACACCTCGAACACATGTGCAAGTATACCTGGGGGATAGATTCTGCAGTGTAATTGCTGTGCCACAGGGTATGACCATCTTCCATTCTGATAGATGTTGAGACCGCTGCTTCTTGAAACCTTAGGGCCCAGGCCTACCTGGGGCAGGGGAGGATAGTGGGGGTTGGGGAGGAGATCCCTACAACTGGTTCTTTGTCTCCTCCAGCTGCGGCTTGATGAGACCCAGGAGGCAGAGTTCCAGGCCCTTCGGCAGCAGCTTCAACAGGAGCTGGAGCTGCTCAACGCTTACCAGAGCAAGATTAAGATCCGAACAGAGAGCCAGCATGAGAGGGAGCTGCGGGAGCTGGAGCAGAGGGTCGCGCTGCGGCGGGCACTGCTGGAGCAGCGGGTAAGGGGCCCAGCCTCCAGGACCCTGGATGGAGGGTAGGCTCCTGCCCCCCACCCCCCACCCCTAATTCTCTAACCTTTGTTTCGGGTGCCCCAGGTGGAAGAGGAGCTGCTGGCCCTGCAGACAGGGCGCTCCGAGCGAATCCGGAGTCTGCTGGAGCGGCAGGCCCGTGAGATAGAGGCCTTCGATGCTGAAAGCATGAGGCTGGGCTTCTCCAGCATGGCTCTGGGGGGCATCCCTGCCGAGGCTGCTGCCCAGGGCTATCCCGCTCCACCCCCTGCTCCTGCCTGGCCCTCCCGTCCGGTTCCCCGTTCGGGGGCACACTGGAGCCACGGCCCTCCTCCACCAGGCATGCCCCCTCCAGCCTGGCGCCAGCCGTCTCTACTAGCTCCCCCAGGTCCCCCGAACTGGCTGGGGCCCCCCACACAGAGCGGGACACCCCGAGGCGGAGCCCTGCTGCTGCTAAGAAACAGCCCCCAGCCCCTGCGGCGGGCAGCCTCAGGGGGCAGTGGCAGTGAGAACGTGGGGCCTCCTGCTGCTGCAGTGCCCGGGCCCCTGAGCCGCAGCACAAGTGTTGCTTCCCACATCCTTAATGGTTCTTCCCACTTCTATTCCTGAAGTGCAGTGGGGAGGAGCAGGGAGTCATTCTACTCCCCTCCTAAACGGGCAGGGCAGGGCAGGGCAGGGGTGGGTGGAGCCTAACCCTGGAGGGCATTGAGCTGGAAGCCCAAGCAAGGGTAGGGGACAGGATGTTGGCTCCAACTCCCCTCAGACCTCATCTCATGAGCTTCTTGGGGCTGGCCAGCAGCCCAGAGCCAGCTTGGGCATAGGTGCCCCAAGGTTGCCTGGGAGCCCCGCCTCCCCACCATGGTGCCAGGGTCTCCCTCCGCCACCTCCTGGGAAAGGAGGGAGATGTGCGTGTCAAATATTCATCTAGTCCCCTGGGGGAGGGGAAGGGTGGGTCTAGATATATTATATTCTGAGAACTATACTACCCTCACAGTGGGGCCCTCAGACCTGCCGTAGGGCAGAGCAGGTCTAGGGCCTGAGGCGGGGAGAATGAGAGGCCGCCTTACTGGCAAGAAGGATCAGGATGGGGTCTTGGGGTCAGGATGCCTGGGTCTCCCCATTCCCCTGTTGCTGTCTGACGTCCTGTGCCGTCTTGTCCTTTATCTTTTTTTTTTAATTGGGATCAGGGCTGGGGCGGGGAAACAAGGGAAGGACCTTGGAAGGGGCTGCTCCTGGGCCTGGGGGCAGTCATGGGAGCCCCTCTCAGCTGTGGGGCTGCACAGAGCCCCAGGCTGGCTTTTAATAAACTGTTGGTTATTCTAACAGACTTCAAGACTTACCTTTCTGTCTATAGTGTGCGTGAAGGACTGCTCAGTGGCTGGTGAATAGTACTCCTTGTGTTTAAATAAGAGAATGTATTGGGGTGTGTATCTAAACACTTCAGTGATTTTAATGACTTCAGGTGTGACCAGATTTCAGCTCTCAAAGGTCTTCAACCCCTTGACCTATAATTCCTGTTTTCTTTGCTTTGGCTTCAAGGATTCATGGGTTTGCCTCCTACACAGACTCCAGGCAGCTCCATGCTCAGATCTTCCCGCAAGCCTCAGCAGCCAAGAGTCCAGTGGAGACTTGATATGACTGCACAGGCTGGGCCTGTATCAAGAGGCCTGGAGGGCTCAGACTGGCCCAGGATGTTTAAGCTTTTCCCCAACCCTTAGAGGCTAACAGCCCCTGGACAGAGTGGCTGTTTCCAGAAGGGGAAAGGCTTAAGCACCAGCTGCCCTCAAGTCATTCTACTCCCCTCCTAAGTGGGCATTGTTATCACACTGGGCTAAAAGCAGAGGAGCCACACACCCTTTTCCAATAGAGCCTAGTGGCTGCTGGATGACAGGATCTGGAGGCAGGGACTTCAGGAACCTGGTGGAAATTAAAGGCAACCAGGCCAAGGGAGGGGGTGGAGGCAGTAGCTACTACTAATTTTTCTGGCCCAAAATATAGGAGGTGAGAATGGGGGACCAGATTTGATGAGGTGATTATAAACACTCCTTTTATTGAGTCTTAAAAAATAAACACCTTAAATAGAGAAGGGGAAGCTGAGAAGTAGCATCCCAACAGCTATGTCCTTGGGGGCTGCAGTCTTCTCTGAAGAAAGCTGCTTCTGCTCTGCAGACACAAGGTGCTATATATGCTTTGTACTTGTGTCAAGGGTCTCTCCTGGGAGGGGTGGAGCTCAGTTACTCTCGCCATCACTGCTGATGATGCCACGCATATGTGACCAGTCTGGAGGTGCAGGACGGGGCCTCTCTTCCTCTGAATCCAGGGTCCGTTGGTATAGCTCCCCTGGGGGTGCTGTTTCTCCTAAAGGGTTCCAGGCCGTACGTCTGCGTGGCCGGCCTAGAGGAAAGGGGAAATGAGAGATCAGATATCTGAGAATGTCCAACCTCACCCATCTGCTCCTTGACAGTGAGAGGAAACCCCTTACCTGAGCCACTGATAATGTTGGCAACATCCAAGGCGGCCACCTCAGCAGCCTCTTCCCGCTGTTCCTTCAGGGCTCGACACTTCTCTAGGGAAGGGTTACCTAGAGCAGAAGAAGCTGGTGATCCTCTCCTCCCCAGCAGGAAGGCCCTCTCCTGCAGCCCCCACGGCATGCCTGGCCTAACCCTTCATGCCTAGGGCTTCCAGTTCTGCCCGGAGGACACTCAGGCGCTCCTTGTGTGAGCGACAGGAACCCAGCAGCTTCTTGTAGTTTCGATGGGCACCACAGGCCCGAATGTAGCGCTTCAGCCTCATCACAGCTGGGTGGTCCCCTCCACGGCGACCTAAGCCAGCCTGGCAAGGAAAGACAGCAGTAGCTGAAGGTGAAGCCTGCTGGGCCTGAGGCAGGGTCTCGCTCTTCCCTAATGGTGGCTTCCCAGCCCTCCACACCCTCACCTTCCCTCCTTTGGCCTCTGGACTTCCATCTGAGGAGGAAGATGAGCTTCTTGTCCTGCCTTTCCTGGTGTTCTTGGAAGAGCGGTTCTTCCTCTCTCCCTGGCAGCCTCCCCCTGCCTCGCTGTCACTCACCTCCCTCTCCAAGTCACTCTCTTCACCACTGGTGCTGCCCAGTCTGGCCATCTTTTTAGTGCCCTTAGCTGTGGGTTCCCCCTTCCCACTGTCTTCCTCGTCCTCGCTGCTTCCCCTCAACCCCTTCCCACCCTTAAGCTGGGTCCTGTCCTTGATCTTCCTCTGCACTAGGGGTTCTTCATCTTTCCCACTGTCATCCCCACTGCCTGCTGCCTCTTTCTCCTCTTCCTCGCTGTCCGGGTCTCCCATGAGCATCCTTGCCTGACTTTTCTGCTTACGGCTCCTCTCCTCCCTAGCTGACCTCCTGCCATTGCTCCTGGCTCTGGATTTCCAATCTTTCTCCTCTTCCTCCTCCCCTTCTTTCTCTTCCTCCCCTGCTTCCTCCTCTCTATGCTCTTTCTTCTTGGCTAGGATCTCCCCCTCCTCTTCACTCTTCTGTTCCTTTTCCTTCAGGCTTTTAGCTCCTTTATTTCTCTCCACCTTCTTTGCTGTCCTCTGAACAGGTTCTTCGTCGATCTCCTCACTTTCTTCCCTGGCCTGCTTTCTACTGACTGAGGCCTTGCCTGATGCCTGCTTCTTTGCCGCAGGTTTCTTCCTAGTCTTCCCCTTGTCTCCCTTTTCCTCGTCCTCACTGCTTTCCTCTCCTCCCCTCTGTGCGGGCAGGTCTCTCCACCGTTCCTCATCACTGCTCTCAACTGCCTTCTTTGAGGCTCGCCTTGGATTCTCCTCCTTGGCTGGGGAGACTTCTGTTGCCACCCCATTCTTTGCTGGGGGTCCAAAGTAGTCTGGGCTGGAAGCTTCAGAGCCGGACTCTGGAATATGGAAAGGAGAGAAAGTTGAGACAGGTTCCTTCTGTCCCTTCTCCCTTCACATCGGATAGGTTGTCTCGAGGGCTGCCCTGACAGAGGGAGGGGTAGCAGGAAACAGCTATCCATCCTCGCTGTCCCGGTTCCTGACTCATAGGCCTCGCTCATTCATTTAACGCCTGGGGACATAACAGATGCGCAGTGAATGCTTCTTTAGTGAAGCACTAACGATGTAGAAGGCCCCCATAGCAGGGAGGAAGCACTAACCCGACTCTGAATTGAAGCGGAACCTTTTTCCCTCCGGGTCGCTACAAGGGGTGGGAGGCCTCTTGCCCTTCTTGGTAAGGTCCAGTTTGACTTCCCTGGAAGCAGCTTCATCCACCTGTGTGTGCGCCAAGAGGGCGAACTATGCACCAAGACTGCGCTCACCGCGCCCCGTCAGGCCCCTCCTCCTCGGCAGCAAGCCCCGCCTCCGCCTCCCGCGGCCCAGGCTCCGACCCACACCTGCATCTTCAGCAGCTCCTCCTCCACCAGCTGCTTCAGTGCTTGCTTCTCCTCGGGCTCCAGGTGGCCGCGGCCCGAGTGAGCCAAGTACCTCCGCCGCACAATGGAGTGCGTGAGCGTGCTGCAGGAATAGGATGTCACGACGGGGTCCCCGTCCCACCCGTGCCCTTTCCAACCCCATCTCCAACCCCCTGAGCACCTGAGGTCCGGGCGGCCTCGGAAGAAGCTACTGGTGAACTCCTGCATCTCCTTCTCCCGCGCCATTTTGCTCCATCCGGGATTGGCGGCTCCCGCCTTTTTTGATTCCCGGCCTCCGTCAGCGCGTTTGACAGCGGCTCGCGCACGCGCTCTGCTGCGGCACCGTGGGACGAGGGACCGTTGGGCCTCGGCCGCGGACCGCTTGAGCCAAGAACTTTGCTGGACAAGACTTGTTTTCCCTGGGCAGTTAGAGGGTCTCGCGGCTCCTACCCTTTCTTGTAACGAATCGTTTTAAAAAAGTTCTCGTTAGAAACCGATTCGGCGCCGGCACCCTTGGGTGTAATCAGTCCGCGACACTGCCTTCCTTCCTGGTCATGGGCACCAGCTAGGCCGCTGTTATTTCACAAGGCAGAAGAAAAAAGGCCTCCTCACCAGGAGACGAGGAACCTCGGGGAGAAATCCTGTTGTGGCTTCAAGTATCTAAGCACATTAAAGTAAGGAACAGCGCCTTCCAGCGTCCACCATCTTTGTGGCGTCACCGCGTCGCTGCTACGCCATCCCCAGCGCAGCCACTGGCTGCGGCGCTCCTTTCCAGTATACCACCCCCCCCCGGGAGGGCGGCCCCCGCGGTAACTCCGCCTGGGCGCGGGGTATGCTGGGAGTTGTGGTTCCAGCGGCACAGCCTTACAGAGTCTCCGGAAGTGTAGGCGTGAGCGGCGGGGCAGCGCAGGCTTTGGGTAGCGGGACTGCAGAAGCTGAGTGCCACTCCCGGACCGGTCATGAACGGGCCGGCGGACGGCGAAGTAGACTACAAAAAAAAATACAGGAATCTGAAGCGGAAGCTCAAGTTCCTCATCTACGTGAGTGCTGCCACGGGAAGCATGTGGGGGATGAGGCCTGGCGTGGACAAAATCTCAGTTTACTCAGGTGTAAAGCGGGTGGGGCGAGCGGCCGTTCCGGGGCCCTTCACGGATGACCGTTGGCCCAGCGCCCCCCTTGCCCGTGATACAGGAGCACGAGTGCTTCCAGGAGGAGCTGAGGAAAGCGCAGAGGAAATTACTGAAGGTGTCCCGGGACAAGAGGTAAGGCACGTTGCAGGGGCGGGGGGCGATGTGGTTCCTAACGATCTACATTCGGACCCCATCACCGAGTAGGGCCACAAGTGCATGGACTCTTTCAGGGATCCCATGGACCAGCTGGGAGGGACAGGGGCCCAGGAGGACATTGCTTCTCTGGGAAATCACTGTCCATCTCCCCTCTTCTGCCCTCCCCTCAGTTTCCTCCTAGACCGACTTCTGCAGTATGAGAACGTGGATGAAGACTCTTCAGGTGAGCGAGTTCTTGAAAATTTGATGGAGGGCATGGTTCCTGGCACTTAGCAAGCTTCCTGGGCCCCCACCTTTTAGGCAGTGGCGGCTGATGGAGCCCTCAGTGGATCTTAAGCCTAGTTGCCTGCTTTCCACCTCCTGAGCGAACACCTATTGTGTTTCAGGCACTGGAGGGGCAGAGATAGACAAAGCCCTTGGTCTCTTGTAATTTATATTCTAGTTGTAAGTAAATGAAAAAATAGACTAGAATTTTAGGTCATGGTAAGAACTAGAAGGTATTGATAACAGAATTACGTGGTAATGATTATAGTAGGACAAGGGTTAACGAACTATTTCTGCAAAGGACCAGAGGGTAAATAAGCTTTTTGCAACATACAATTTTTGAGGCACCTACTGAACTCTGCTTTTGTGGTATAAAGCAGCCATAGCCCATATTCAAATAAATAAGTATGGCTGTCTTTCTATACAACTTTATAGCCACCAAAATTTGAATTTCGTATTATTTTCACATGAAAAAAATTTTTTTTCAACCATTTAAAAGTTAAACAGCCATTCTTAGCTTGCAGACTACCCAAGCAGACAGCAGGCACCATCTGAATAGAGTACTCAAGAAAGGCCGTTCTTGAGTTGGGACCAGATAAGAAACCAGCCTTCCAACCTGGGCAACCTAGTGAGACCCCCAGGTCAATTAAAAAAAAAATTAGCCGTGCATAGTGGTGCACACATGTGGTCCTAGCTACTTGGGAGGCAGAACCAGGAGGATCCCTTGCCTGAAAGGTTGAGGCTGCAGTGAGCCATAATTGTGCCAGTGTGCTCCAGCCTGGGAGACAGGGCAAGACTGTTTCAAAAAAAATAAACCAACCTTGTGAAGAAGTAAGCTCGAGCTGTCCTGGAGGAATAACATATGCAGGTACCCTGGGCTGGGCTTGGTTGAAGAGCAGAGGGATGAAAAAGAGCACTGTTTTCCTCCCTTTATTTGAGTATTGTCTGCATTTAACTATATTTTACATCATGATCATGGCTCAGTATACATACCTACAAAACAAAGTTTAACAAAAAAAATTTTTTTTTTGAGATGCAGTCTTGCTCTTGTCGCCCAGGCTGGAGTGCAGTGGCGTGATCTTGGCTCACTGCAACCTCTACCTCCTGGGTTCAAGCAATTCTCCTGCCTCAGCCTCCCAAGTAACTGGGATTATAGGTGCCTGCCAGCATGCCTAGCTAATTTTTGTATTTTTAGTAAAGATGGGGTTTCACCATGTTGGCCAGGCTGGTTTCAAACTCTTGACCTTGTGATCCACCTGCCTCAGCCTTCCACAGTGCTAATGATTACAGACGTGAGCCACCGCACCCAGCCAAAACGTTTTTAAGATCACTGTACCAATTCGTCTGGATACTTTTTTTTTTTTTTTTTTCCTTAGGAAGACTTCACCTGAACCAGATACTTTTTAGACTGCTTTTTTTCCCTTCTTTTAATGCTGGTTGCAAACCAATACATTGATTTCATGGCCTCCACTAATGGATTGAGACCCACAGTTTGAAAAAGCCCTGAGCTGGGCATTTGTGGGCCTATTCCTGGGCGGGACCCTTAAAGGCCACGTCACGTAGAATCACCTCTCCACAGTGTCTTTAAACATTGTTCTGAGGCAGGGATCGGCATGTAGCAGCGAGCCAAGTTTTGGGACATAGTGTTTTGTTGGAACACATGATACCCATTTGCTTGCTCTGGGAGTACTGAAGATGAGGTTAGGGAAATAGGCAGGGGCCCACTCAGGTAGATCATAGTAGGAGGTTTGTCTCTTACTGTAGCCTCTCATCCCCTGCCTCTCCCTTCCCTAAGGGCTTCTAGTTAACGTCCTATTTGAGGGGATTTCAGGGCTCCTGCCTTGTGGGAGAGGACCCAGCATGTTCATGGCCAGAGTGGGTTGCATCTGAGAAGGAAAAGCCAGCGATGTGGGCCCCAGTCCTGTCATGGAGGTTCACAGCCTGGTCAGGGAGACACAAATGACGCTCTTTGGCACAGTGTGGGGATAGCCATGACAAGTGAGGGTAGAGGGTTCCGGGAGAGCCTGCAGTTAATTGGGCTTGAGGGATTCTAGAAGACTTCTAAGAGGATGTGGCATTTAATCTGCTCCTTAAAGGGTCTGTCTGAGCAGAGGCATTGGCAACAGCTTCTATGTGTAGCAGTCGTTTGTTCAGTGAAAGACGGCTCTTCTAGGCAGAGGCACTGAGCTAGGAAATACATTTCTTTTTTAAGGAAATAGGTCAGTGTGGTGTAAAGAATACAGTTATGGACTGGGTGCAGTGTCTCACGCTTGTAATCCCAGCACTTTGGGAGGCAGAGGCAGGTGGATCATGAGGTCAGGAGTTCAAGACCAGCCTGGCCAATATGGCGAAACCCCGTCTCTACTAAAAATAGAAAAATTAGCTGGGTGTATTGGCAAGTGCCTGTAGTCCCGGCTACTTGGGAGGCTGAGGCAGGAGAATCACTTGAACCTGGGAGGTGGAGGTTGTGGTGAGAAGAGTACAGTTATGTTAGTTGACTAGAAAGATATGGTGAAGCCAGATTAAGAAGCACTAAGAATTCATCCAGTTAGTTGGGGATACCATCAAGAAGGATGTGACCAGGTCGGTTTTAGGTTACTCTGGAGTTGGAGTTGGACTGCAGGTGGCAGGGTGAGGTGAGACTCCTCAGCAGGTGATTTTGACACGCTGGTGGCCTGACCTGTGGCAGTTGGCGTGAGGAGTAGTAGATGAAGGGGAGGATGAGGGGTGAGTGAACAGGCCCTGGTTATGGAGAGTGGAGCTGAGGCAGGAGCTGAAGACAGCTCTGCTCAGAGGCAAGGAATGAGTGGCATCAAATAGCCAAGGAGTCACAGACCTGGGTTGGAGTTGCAGCATCACACCTTACTTTCTGAGCCTTGGTGACCTCATGTGACAAGTGGAGGTACCAGCCTTCCCATCCTCCTTGAATGGGAAGGAGGCTGGCACCCTGACCATGCATGGCATGTGTGTGATGGAGGAATGATAGCGGAAGGGAGGCTGGGGAGGCTGGAGAGGCTGTGGGCCTCCCTGGGACAGCATGGGTGTGTGTGTACATGGATGTGCCCACCACCTGGTGAGTCAGATTCCCCCAGGGGCCCTTCTGTTGGGTTTTTGGTTTGTTTGGTTTTTTTGAGACAGGGTCTTGCTCTGTCTCCCAAGCTGGTGTACAGTGTTATGGTCATGGCTCACTGCAGCCTCGATCTCCAAGCAATTCTCCTGCCTCAGCCTACTGAATAGCTGGGACTACAGGCACACACCACCATGCTTGTATAATTGTTTTTGTTTTTAGTAGAGATGAGGTCTCGTAGGTTGTCCAGGCTCCTCTTGAACTCCTGGCCTCAAGCAGTCTGCCCACCTTGGCCTCTCACAGTGCTGGGATTAGAGGCATGAGCCCCACACTTGGTCCTCTGGCACCCTTCTGTAGTGTAGAGGAGGTTATACCCTTCTGGGATGGACTAGGATTCCCCCACCCCTACTGACCAGCTGTTCCTGTCACAGACTCAGATGCCACTGCATCTTCAGATAACAGCGAGACAGAGGGGACACCCAAGTTGTCTGACACTCCAGCCCCTAAGAGGTGAGAAGAAGATGCATTCCTCTCACTGGGGAGGGTCAGGTGGACTGCCTGGGCTCCTAGCCACCTCTGACCCCTCCTGTCCTTTCTCCAGGAAGAGAAGCCCTCCGCTGGGGGGGGCCCCCTCTCCCTCCAGCCTCTCCCTGCCTCCTTCAACAGGGTTTCCCCTTCAGGCCTCCGGGGTCCCCTCCCCATACCTGAGCTCGGTGAGTTGGGGTCAAGGGTGGGAAGTGTCAAACTAAAACGCCTGGGAGTAAGCTGGCGTCATTTGGGCAGAAGGGCTGGGCCTCGGGGCAAGGCCAGCCCAACTCTGGGGACATCTGTCTGGGTGTGGCCAGCAAGTGTCCTGTGGAGGGTGTGAGTGGGGGCTGCCCCCTCTCTCTCTGGTGTAGGAACGGGGCCAGGCGTGACTGAGGAGAGCAGAGCCCAGGACAGCGTCCTGCTGCTGCCCCCCATTCTGTGCTCGGGAGCCCTGGGGGCCGCACTCATCACCATCTCTTTTGTTTTTCCATCCTCCTTTTGTTTGCATTTCTTCCCCCCACCCTCATCCTGTCCACTCCACCTCCCATCTCCATCCCTACTCCTGCCCACAGCTGGCCTCCCCCCGCTACCCCCCATTCCCCTCTGACTACCTGGCCCTGCAGCTGCCCGAGCCCAGCCCCCTGAGGCCCAAGCGGGAGAAACGGCCCCGCCTGCCCCGGAAACTCAAGGTACCCTAATGTGGGGGCGCTAGGGAGGGGCAGGACGGCAGGAGGACAGCCACCTGAGGGAGGCTTAAGGCGGGGGCCTGCCAGAGAACCCTGAATGGTTGATTTGGGGCTGTAGGGGATCCAGCCATCACTCTGCACTGAGGGGTGGACCAGAGGAGTCCCAGCTCACAGGCCCGTGTGGAGACAAATCAGGGCAGAATCAGCCTTGGGGGACCCCGTGTGTCGATGCCAGGGGTCTGCCCTTTCACGGCTGCAGCGTAGCAGGGTCAGGCTCATTTTCCCAGGTGGGCATGTTCTGTGATGCCCGGCAGCCCCAGGGGGGCAGGATTATGGGATCTAGAGTCTAGTCAAAACTGCCTGTTAGAAACCACGTGGCCTTGAGCAGGTCTCTGCTACCCTCTAGGCCTCCTAGACTTGGCACCTGTAGGGCGAGTGGTCCCACTTGATGTGACCAACAAGCGCCCCTGGAATGCCTCCCGTGGGCCAGGCACTGTCCTGGCTGCGGCAGATATGTGGCAGTGAACAAAGCCAACCAGTCCCTGCCCTCATGGAGCTCACTTTCTAGCAAGATAGGCAGAAAGCATACCAGAAAAATAGGTACGTGTGGAGAAGAACGGAGTGAGGTACGAAGCGTGGGGACCCTCGGGGACAAAGCTGACACTTTGGGCCCAGCAGTCTGGGATGTTCACTGATCAGAGACACAGGAAATGACAGCAACCCGTGTCGCTCCTGGGCCGTGTTTCAGTCAAGCAGAGACCCTGGGAGGGTGCGAGCTGGGCTTGTTGCAGGATCTGGAAGGAGTCTGTCAGGGAGGAAAGTCAGCAGGGACATGGGTCCTGGAGCAAGTCAGAGGCGGGAGCTCCTGAGGTACTACTGAGCAGGCTTTGCTGTGAATGAAGCCTTGGAGAGGGCAGTTCCCCCGCAGGGCGCAGGATGCAGGCATGGAGGGGAGTCTGATCTCATTGCATCGTAACTAAATTTCAGACACCAGTGGTCATAGAACAGACTGGGTGAGTGGTGGGTGAGTCGGGATGGGAGTGAGGAGGCCACCTCCGTAAACCAGGCAGAGGGTCCAGAGGCGGCTGCAGACCCATTTCAGAGAATGAGCCTCAGGAATTCCTGGAAGACCCGGTGTGGGCTGTGCGGGAGAGGCCAGGATGCCTGCAGGGCTGCAGCCTGAGTATGAGTGGAGTCGCCCTCCCTCAAGATAGGAGGGCTGTGGGAGCACAGGCTTGGAGGGAAGCTGGGTCTGGCTGCAGACGCATCAGGTGCCATCTGGAAGGCAGCTAGACAGCGGCCCGTGAGGGGCTGCGCATTTGGAAGCCTCCAGGGTGGCGGTAGATGCAAGCCTTAGGAGAGATGGGGATGGGCTGAGGGGCTTAGTTGAGTGGGAACCAGCTGGGCAGTGCTCGGGGTTCTGGAGCCAGAAGCAGAATGAGAGGCCGCATTTGCAGTGGTCTGGAGTGCAGGATCTGGAGCTCGAATCCTAACTCTACCCTTTTCTCTGTGTGACCTTGGCCCTGTGAGACTTCATCTCTTGATCCTGAGAAGCAGAGGTGACAGTACTGGCTCTGCTTCTTAACAGGGGGGTGGCAGGCAGGGTGGGGGTGGTTCGGCATAGGGGGGCACTTTGAGGCTTTCTGGCTGGGCGTTGAGTCCTAAAGTGGGGTCTCGTCCTAGAGCAAAGTTCTGGACGTTCTGGAGAGGTTTGGGAGGGCAGCTCAGGTCAATGGCTGTGCAGGGAGGCAGGGAGAAGCCAGGAAAGGCCTCAGCAAGGAGAATGTGTGAGCCCCGGGTGAGTGGATTTGGATATTCCCGGCTGAGGCCATGGTGGGAAGGGATATGGGGGCCAGTGAAAGTGCAGCCTGGGCTGGAGCAGGAGTGGTAAGAGACACGACATTAGCAAGATGAACCTGGTGGGGCGGGGTCATGGAAGGCCTAGAGGCCCATCTGAAATGGGAGTTTGCCTGTGACTGTCAGTGGAGTGGGAGTCCCTGAAGGATCTGGGGGACTTGGTGTGAGGAGATAGAAGGAGGGGAGTTAAAGCAGAGGAGGAACAGCTGTGAAGACAAGCAGGTTGGTTCTGTCAGGCCTAAATCGGACTTGGCTGGGTTTGAGTCCCAGCTCTTCCAGTACTCACTGTGCGACCTCGGCGTGTCATTTCACGCCTGGAGCCACAGCTCTCTTCTCCGTTCACTAACGTCATTGTGCAGAGAAAGTGAGTGAAGGGATGAAAAGGGCTGGCCCCATGCCTGGCCCTTAGTAAGCCACAGAGAATTGTGAGTTGCTGCCAGTCAGGCTGAGGACGCCACTGAGGAACTCCCGGCCAGGGTGGGATGTGCTGTGCACAGCGGGGAAGGGGAGGTGGTGGGCAGAGGAGGGGACGGTCCTTGTGCAGCAGCCTTTCTAGTCGAGCACGTACGCCTGCTCCTGTGTGTATATGAAGGGGCCTGGGACAGGGCGAGCGGGTGCTGTTCAGAGCTGAGCCCCCGTCTGTTGTCCATCCTGCCAGCCTCCTGTATCCTGAGGCCTGACTCACCCTGGCTCTCAAGCCACCCCAGGAGCAGAGGTGAGGGTGGGGACTCCTTAGGAAGCAAAGAAGAGGCCACAGGGCCAAATGTGACACTCAGAAGGGCCACTGGAGACCATGCAAGGCATTTCCTGCCAGCCTACCCAGCACCTAGCCCAGGCTGGATACTGCCCCTCAGGACTCAGCAGGACTGTGCCTCAGCACCTCTGTGTCCATGCCAGGCTCAGCCTCCTCTGCTGGCACCTGACCTCTTCCCGCTCCCCAGCATCCTGAAGCTGGGAAGGCATTAACAGAAACCACCTGGCACGCAGCAGGTGCCCAGTTTGTGCCCACAGACAATGCATGGGAACTGCAGAGGAGACCCAGAGAGCTCTCTGGGTAGGGTCTGTGAGGGACTGGAGAGTTGGGCAGATCACATCCCAGCCTCAGAGGACAAAGGACTTCTGACAAATAGAGCAGGATGCCCAGGTGGAGGGGCCACCTGTCATTTGGCAGGTGGCATTCCCGTCCCGAGGCCCTGAGTGGCGCAGTGATGCGCTCAGGTCTGTGTTTTAGAGCGCGTGCTCCGGCTGCAGTGCGGAGGAGCTGGATCTGGGAGAGGCTGCAGGCAGGGAGTCCAGTTAGGAGGCTGGGACCGCAGCCCAGGTGAGCCGAGAGGAGGGCTGGGCCTAGGCCATGGCTGCGGGAATCCCAAGGAGGGGCCCATCCAAGACATAATAGAAGCTTCTGGGGGTCGGAGAAGCTGCCAGGGCTCCAGGCTCTGGCAGCCTGTGATACCCTCCACTGAACCAGTGAGTCCTGCAGAGGAGGGAGAGGAAGCCGGTGGCGGCAGGTGGCACCAGGTGGCACCTTCGGGACCCAGCAGCAGTCAGGCAGGCACTCCAGGCTGACTCCGCCTCTGGCTTAACCCACCTCAGGGCAGCCCAGGCGCCTCCCTAGAGAGGGCAGGGCCGGGCCTTTCCCTCCCGGTTTCCTGTGAGACACCTCATCCCCTCATCTCACGTCCATCACCACCCCCAGGCACTTGCTGCTTTGACACTCACTAGGGGCTGAGGGTGGGCAGGCCCTGAGTACAGCATTGGCTGGCCCGGCTGTGCCCAGGGCCCCTTCCCGCTCCCCAGAGCTGCCCCGGGGGGGCAGGGCCCGGTCCCCTGAGGCCCCAGTGCCTCCCTGACTAGCCCCCCTGTGTTTCTTCCCCCTGATGCAGATGGCGGTGGGACCCCCTGACTGCCCTGTGGGAGGGCCGCTGACCTTCCCTGGCCGGGGTTCTGGGGCTGGGGTCGGGACAGCCCTGACCCCCCTCCCACCCCCCAAGATGCCCCCCCCCACGATCCTGAGCACAGTCCCTCGGCAGATGTTCAGCGACGCAGGTAGCGGGGACGATGCCCTAGATGGGGATGATGACCTGGTGATCGACATCCCGGAGTGATTGCAGCGTTGCACCACGCCCGCCGCAGCCCCACCCGGCGCCTCCCTGTGCAGCACAAACGAGCCCAGCTTCCCGGAGGTGTTTATTGATACCCAGCTGCCATGCTCCGGCTACTGACACAACCAGAAAAGGCGTAAACATGCACGGGTGTCCCCCAGGAGGGTGGCAGGGGCCCTGCCTTCAAACCCTGGCCCCATCCAGGGGACAGTTAAACAAGTGGCTGGGAGCATCTGCCACCTGCTGGAGAGGCAGAGACCCTGCGATCGCCACCCCTTTAAAAGGGCAGCTGTACGGGGCTAGGTTTTTTAATGAAGTTTCTGTATTAAAGGAGTGGCTCTGGGTTGTTTTTTTTTTTTTTGTCTTTTCTTTCTTTTTTTTTTTTTTTGAGACATTCTCCTCCTCTGAACCTCCCCTAATCCGACCTCTTCCCTGTTGGGGGAGAGGGACGGGGCAGCGTGGAGAGGCAGGAATGAGGAGCTCAAGGGCCTGGGGCTGGGCTCTGAGCACTGCCCAGGTATGCAGAGAGGATGGGGTGTTTGCATATTTGCAGGGACTAGCGAGTCAGGCAGGAGGTTTGCATATGTGAATACAGAACTCCACAGCCCCTCACGAGCAGACAGACCCGGTCAATGAGACTCACAAAAATAAGACAGGTAGTGCAGGGTGGGGGCAGCCCACCCTGTGTAAACGTGCAACACACTCGTGCGAAGGTTGGGTACTGGGCCCGGCCTGATGGGCCTGTGCAGGGCACTGCTGTCCACTCAGGCTGAGGACAGAGTACCGGCCGCAGGGGGCAGCTCGCTGGTCAGGGTGTGCCAGCGCTCCAGGGCTGCATCTGGCTGCTGCAGGCAGTCGCTCCAGTGCTTACGGGCCTCGCCTCGGGCACCTGGCCCAAGGGACACACCACCTTGGGGGAGCAAGTGGTAGAGTCAGGGCCACCTCCCTGGCACTCACCCTCCCCCGGCACCCACAGCCAGCTCATTCCTCACCGATGAAATCATTGGATTTGCCGATGTCATAATCCCAGACGGTGACTTCCAGGGTCTTGGTGGCCAGTGTGGAGAGCTCTATCTCATAGAAAAACTCCTGGGGACAAGGCGGCCGCCCATTCGTGAACTGACTCCTCAGCCCCCCAGCCCCTCTCTGGCCTGCCTCTGCGTCCAGTCCCACCCAGGTACCTCGTTAAATTCTGGGTTGAGAGTCTTCTTCTTCACACATGTCTTATGCTTGGATTTCTTGTCCACATCAGGCCTCAGGTACCTGGGAGTGTGTTGGAGGGAGAGGAACTGAGGGGTCAGGGACAGGCCATGCCTGATTTTGGCAGGGGCAGGCTCCCTGGAGAGGAGAGGCTCAGCGCAAGGGCTCACGTTTTGACGTAGGGGTCCGAGTAACCGTTGACGTCCATGGCAGCCAGGTGGGCACAGCGTACAATGCCGACCAGCAGTCCCCGGCGCCGCGAGCTGTAGCTGAGACTCAGCAGGATACGGCCACGCTCCTCCAGCAGCCCCAGCCCCTGCTCTGCCTGCTCCAGCTGCGGGGTACAGATGCAGGGTCAGCTTGGGCCCCCACCGCCACCCACCCACATGCATCCCTGTCCCTGTGAGATGTCTCACCTCCTTCAGGTAACAGGAGATGCCCCTCAGCGCTGCCGACATCGAAGAGGGGGACGCCAGCTGAGGGGGCAAAGAGAAGGTTCTGGAACCCTGGCCTCCCCTCTGGCACTCCTGCAGGACCCCTTCCTCTGGCACCCCTGCAGCCTGCCCCCCACACAGACCGGGACCTGGCGCTCGAGACAGATGTTAAAATGCTTCTTCTGCGAAGGCTTGAGGCGGCGGAGTGGCACGCGGATCTCCCCAATAAACTCATTGTGGCTCAGCTTGTCCTCATCACACACGGCAATCCTGGGGGGGAACGGCAGTGTCAGGGCCCCTGGGGTACCTGAGCCCCGTTCCAGCCTGGAGAAAGGGCCTCAGACCAGCACAGCTCTGCCCTAAATACTCCGTCTCATCTGGAAGACGGGCTGGCACTTGAGAAGGACAAGCAGATTTGCCCGGTCCTCTGTCCCTCCTTCAGCAGCCACCCAGCTGTCCCTAGTCCCTCAGGAGCTGCTCAGCCTCTTCGGGAAGCCCTCAGAAATCTTGGAGCACCGCTCACTGCCTCCATTCAGGGCCTGGGGGCAGAAGCCAAACACCAAGGTAGATGTGGCCACACACAGGCCATGAGAGCTAGAAGGGCCTTGGAGCCTTAGGCAGCCAGACGAGGATCCCTTGCCTCCTCAGGACCCCCGTCCTTTTCCTGCATGCAGCAGAGAGCCAGCCCTGCAGGGATTCATGAGCCCAGCAACTAAGAAATGACTGTTCTCCGGCCACCCATCCTCCCGAAGCACCTGCTCTGCCTCTGCTGTGACCCATTGCCACGTCAGCCATCTGTGGCATGGAGGGCAGGCAGATCCTAGCCCTGCCACTTCTGAGCCACCTGTGTGACCTGGGGCAAGTCACTTAATCTCCCTATGCCTCAATTCCCATCTGTAAAATGGAGAGAATCAAGGGAAAGAAAGAAAAGTGAAAATGCTTAGTCCAGGCTGGGTACTGGGGAGTGCTCAGTCATTTTGAGGTTCATTCTGGTTTCGGCCTCTGGCCTCCCCTCCATTCCACCTGCATACCCGACACCAGGGTGGCCTCTCTGCCACACAGCCCTGACCATCAGGGAAGAGTCCCAGCTGCAGATCCAAGCACAAAGGCAGAGGTCTCTCTGGAGCCTGGGTTTCGCTGCCCACCACCTGACTCGAGGGAATACTCTCCCCACATCTCCATCTCCTGGGATGATGGAGTAACTTCCCTGTCCCTGAAGACTTCACTCTTTAGAGATTTTAAGGGAACTCGGGGCACAGAAGGGGCAGACCAAAGCTGCAGGGTTCTGAGAAGGGGTCTCAGCGACCCAGGAACACTTTCAGGAGTGGGCAGAGCTTGGACTGAGCCCCAGATGAGTGGAATTTAGGCTAGCCAGGAGGAGCTTTCCAGATAAAAAAACAGAACAGGAAAAGCAGGAGTTGTGAAACTGGCCACTTGGAAGGGAGTCCTCTGTTTGAGAGGTAGGAAATACTCGTTTTTGTTTTGTTTTTGAGAGAGTCTTGCTCTGTCACCCAGGCTGAAGTGCAGTGATACGATCTCTGGTTACTGCAACCTCCACTTCTTGGGTTCAAGCAGTCCTCCTGCCTGAGCCTTCTGAGTAGCTGGGATTACAGACACATGCCACCATGCCCAGCTAACTTTTGTATTTTTAGTAGAGATGGGGCTTCACCATGTTGGCCAGGGTAGTCTCAACTCCTGACCTCAAGTGATCGGCCCACCTCGGCCTCCCAAAGTGCTGGGATTACAGGTGTGGACCACTATGCCCTGCTTGTAGGAGATATTTGGGGGCAGGAATGGCAGGGAAATATTTTGGCCTGCTGCCAAAGGGGATAGGGAGCCACTGATGGTTCTTGACCATTAGAGAGATGGGGGCTTAATGGGATATAGATTAACCAGCGGTTACAGTGACAGCTGTCCCTGAGCTGCTGCTGGACCTGGATCTTTGGTGGCAGGGAGGGGGGCCCTCACCTGAGAACCTTGTGTGTGATGTCATCATCCGTGATCCCGCTGTATGTCAGGTCCTCATTCCACACAGGATTCAGCGTGTTCCTCTGAGTCTTCGTTTTTAGCTTATTGGCCTGGGGTGTGGGGATAAAACATTCTCAATACCTGTCTTCCAGCCACAGTGCAGCTGAAGGCATGGGCAGCTAGCTGGGAGGGAGAGGAAGCTATTACCTTACAGGCTCCAGGCAGCAGGTGCAGCTTGACATAGGGGTCTGCGAGGCCATTGAAATCCATGGGCTTGAGGCCCTGGAGCAGAGGGGAGGGGAGAGGGCTGGAGGCTCCCGGCATCTCTCTCCCTCCCTCTTGTAGAGCTGGACCCTGGAGGGGCCCAGAAGAAGGGTGCAGGGGTGAGAGGAAGGAGCAGGCCTGGGAAGGAAGGGATGGAAACCCACCCCTCTGGGGGCCACACGTGGGCTTGGGAGGCAGGGAGTGCCCACCTTGGCCCTGAGGATGCTACAGTGCAGAGTGCAAGAGGCCCGGTCATAGAGAAGGTCAAACTCCAGCATGCCCAGGGCGGCTGGAGAGAGAGGAAAGGCAGCGTGGGTCTGTTTGGAGACAGGTGTGTGCCAGAGGCCGGCAGGCGGGCACTGGTTGTGTGTGTCTCCCTCTCTGCCCACCTGTGAGTGTGTGTGCAAGAGGCTGAGTGGGCCTGTGCGTGTGTGCGTCTGGGTCCCTGGCTCAGCCGCAACTGGGGCTGTGTGGGTGGTGGAGTGTCTCAGCAGAAATATTGAATATTGAGCCTTGCTGAAGCTGTAATCTCCACGCCGACTGCAGCTGTGTCGGCCGTCCCCACCCCCCCCCCACTGCCCTCCTCCACTACATGCACACCCATCAGGGCTCATCACCCCCACCCCCCACAGCAAGCCTGGAGCCCCCCACCAGCATGTGGGGTCTCCAAGCCTCCAGACTCACTGCCATCATCCGAGTCATAGCTGTCCACCTCTGCACCATCCTCAGGCGTGGTGGCCCCAAGGAGGGCTGCAGGGGGGGCCAGAGCCAGGGGGGCCAGATGGGCGGGGGCCTCCCCGCCGCCCCCGCCGCCCCCTTCAGGTCCTGGTCCCAGGCGGGGGAAGTAGTCAGAGATCTGGCGGATGGGCCGGATGGGCCCGGGGCACACGTTGATGGCCATGTGCTCCTGGATGTTGATGGTCATGCGGTCGCCCCTGCGGCCCCTCATGCAGCACCCCTGGCTGGGGGAGGCCGTGTGAGCCAGTGAGCCCAGGGCCAACTCCTCATACCTAACCGTCCTGGCTGAGAGCCAGGCAACAGCCTCCTGGGTCTGCGGGGCCCTCACTGGCCTCCCTTCCTAGGTCGAGGGAGAGGGTGGCCTGTGCCAGCTGGTGGCAGGCGGGATGCCTGGGCCCTGCAGACCCCAGGCCGGCTCCATGGGGGCTGGGCTGCCATCCCACTCCCCTCAGAGATCGAGGCTGTACCACCTCGTCCTCACCCACCCACCTCTAGGTTGTCCCTGTATCATCTTGCCAGCTCCTTCCTCTCCTCCTGGGCTCCCATCTGTTCCTGAGCCTGCCCGTCCCTCAGGGGGCCCTGCAGGGCCCCGCCTCTGTTTCTCGGAGGCTCTGTCCTCTGCAGCAGGCGCTGGTCTGGTCAGGGTATCACCCACCCCTCTAAGCTCCCACTCCCCACTGTCCCTTCATTCAGCCCCAGGACCTGTCTGCCTGCCTGGTTCCCCCGCAGCTCACCGCAGCCCACGGTGGAGACCCCAGCCTCAGATGCCACCTCAGGCTCCCCCGTAGCGCACACAGGCTGGCACGCTCCCCCGCACCTTCACGCCCCCGGCCTGCCCAGCCCCCTGCACCTGTCTCTGCCTCCAACAGGTGCCCAGGCAGTGGGGGAACGGCGGGCGCAGGCTGGGCGGTGGCGGCCGGCGATCCCCAGGGCGGCGGGCGAGGAGAGCGCGGAGTCCGGCGGTGTGAGCCGACAGGGAAGGAGAGCCGAGAAAGTGAGGGGAGGAGGGGGTGAGCGAGGTGGAGGCGAGGATGCAGCCGGCGCCGCCGGCGGGGGGCAGGGAGGGGCGCCGGAGCTGGGGAGGGGGCGCGATCTCGGGCTCCCACCCAGGGACCGCTCGGTAGCGCACCCGAGGGCACACACAGACACGTGTGCTCTCGCGCGCACACTCACGCAGGGGCACGAGGGCCGGCACACACTCGAGTGTACACATCCAGCCGGACACCCCCGCGCGCACACGCCCGTGCCCACGTGTGCACGCTCACACGCTTGCACACAACCCAGGCGCGCGCTGGCACACTCACCCGGAGAACTTCGCACGCACACGCACTCGCAAACACGCGGGATCCCTGTGCCACCGGGAAGCGGTCGGCAGAATCGCCGGGTGTTCCCCAACTCCTCCTGGGAGACCCGGGCCCCCGCTCCCGCCCGCGTGCGCGGCTACGGCGCCTCCTTCCCTCCTTGCCTACCTCCCTCCCTCCTGGGTCCCCAGGGCCCGACCACCGGCCTTGTTGCCATGGCGACGCCGGCTCATCTTCCCCCCCCCCACCCCCGCGCGTCTTCACTCCCTTCCCCTGCAGGGAGCTAGGGCCTCCGTCCTCCCCTCTCCAGGTCCGTAGGGACCCAGGGGCGGAGAGGGGCAGCAGGTCTGATCCGCCTGCTGTCTCAGGCCAGGGATGTCGAGGTCACCCAAGCCGGGCTGGGAAGCCTCACGATCTGAGGGAGGAGGCAGATGTCTGAGGCTGCCTCTTCCCCACACCCCCTCCCTTTGGCTGTTCAGGTCTCTTTCCTTGTGGCCCAACCCAACTTCCAGGGACCTGTGTCCCCTTAACGGGGATGGCATCTCCTTTGGGAACCAACCTCTCTCACCCTGTCCCCTGCCTTCTCCAGTTTTGCACCGCAAATGGGGAGGGGTGTCAGGGCTTGGCTCTGAAGGCCCTAGAGCCCTGCTGTGGCAATTCCCCATGGGCTGCCATTTCTCACCCAAACCCTGCCACCCTGAGGCCGACCCCGTCCTGTGCCTTGCCCTGCGCCTGCCATGGGCTGTCAGTCCACCCCTGGCCTGCGATCTTCACTCTCCTGTGTCCCAAACTTACCATTCCGAAAACACTAAGGGGCTCATCACCCCCACTGCCCACCACTGACTTGCCCAACCGTTTCCTGCAGTTCCTGGGACACAGCTAGACGGCTCAGGCCTAGGGTCTTGGCTCACATGCACTCCTCTACCTGGGAGCCATGCTTCCTCAGGTAGTCACCCTGGGTCCCCTCTTCCTAGGAGCCTTCCTGGGGCATCCCGCTCTGCCCCTCAGCTCCAGCACTATCAGGGCTGTGCCAACACCGTTTCACCAGTGCCTCCCCCACCAGCTGGGAGTTTCACTGGAGTGGCTGATTCATCTGGGAGTCCCTAGTGTCCCAAACTGGGCCTGGCACGAAGTCGGCATCTCTAAGTGCTGTTATTTAAAAGAGAAATCTGGTTGCACAACAAAGCAAGCATACCTGACACACCTAGCCTTACCCTTAAAAATGGTCAAGATGGTACATTTCGTTATGTGTACTTCACTGCAATTTCTTTTTTAAATAAGAGAAATGGAACTGAGCATGGCGTGTATAATCCCAGCTACCCTAGAGGCTGCGGCAAGAGGATTGCTTGAGTGAAGCCAGCCTGGGCAACATAATGAGAAGCAGTCTCTTTAAAAAAACAAAAAAAAAAAGTAAGAGAAATGTGAAATCCAGAGAGAGGGGCCGGGCGCACTGGCTCAGGCCTGTAACACCAGCATGTTGGGAGACGGAGGCATGTGGATCACTTGAGGTCAGGAGTTTAAGATCAGCCTGGTCAACATAGCAAAACCCTGTCTCTACTAAAAATACAAAAAATTAGTCAGGTGTGGTGGCGCATGCTTCAGGAGGCTGAGGCAGGAGAATTGCTTGAATCCGGGAGGGGGAGGTTGCAGTGAGCCAAGATGGAGCGACTACACTCTAGCCTGGGCAACAAGAGCAAAACTCTGTCTCAAAAAAACCAAACCAAACCAAAACAAAAACACTGAGATATCACTTATTACCGATAAAATGGGCTGGGTGTGGTGGCTCACACCTGTAATCCCAGCTCTTTGAGAGACAGAGGTGGGCTGATTTCTTGAGCTCAGAAGTTCAAGACCAGCCTGGGCAACATAGCAAGGCCCTGTCTCTACCAAAAAAAAAAAAAAAAAACCGCAAAAAAAAGAAGCCAGGCATAGTGGCATAGTAGCCGGTGGTCCCAGCTACTCAGGAAGCTGAGGTGGGAGGGTCTCTTGAGCCTAGGAGATCAAGGCTGCAGTGAGCTATATAATTGTTCCACCGCACTCCAGCCTGGGTAACAAAGTGAGACCCGGTCTCAAAAATATATATATACATCCTTAGACCCAGAAATTCCACTTTTAGGATTTTATCTTAAAGATATGGCAATCCATGAGCCAAATAATAGAAGTTCAAGATTCTTAAATGCAGCACGTTCCAAAAGATTGAAAACCACGAAGATGCCCGGAAGCAGGGACCAATTAAATCAGTCCCGATGTCATTCCATACAGTGAAATAGTATGCAGCCACTAAAAAGGAGGCTGTTCTGCTCTTGTTTAGGATCATCTATTTTTTTTTTTCAATATGCAAGGTCTCACTTCTATATTACCACCCAGGCAGGCTGGTCTCAAAGTTCTGGACTGAAGCAATCCTCCCACCTCGTCCTCCCAAAGTTCTGGGATTACTGGCGTGAGCCACCATGCCTGGCCCTAGAATCATCTTCACAGTTTCATTTTAACTTTGAAAAGCAAAGTACAGGCCAGAAGTGGTGGCTCACACCTGTAATCCCAGCACTTTGGTAGGCTGAGGTGTGTGGATCATAAGGTCAGGAGTTCAAAACCAGCCTGGCCAACATGCTGAAATCCCATCTCTACTAAAATTACAAAAATCAGCTGGGTGTGGTGGCACACACCTGTAATCCCAGCTACTGAGGAGGCTGAGGTGGGAGAATCGCTTGAACCTGGGAGGCAGAGGTTACAGTGAGCCGAGATTGTGCCACTATACTCCAGCCTGGGCAACAGAGCAAGACTCCATCTCAGGAGGGGAAAAAAAAGAAAAGCAAGTGCAGAGAATCGTGTTGGAATACTGCTGTTTGAGAGGAAAAGAGATTAGCCACGTTCCTTTAGTTGTTCATACATTGTTTCTAGAAGCTGCACAAGAAAATGGTAACTGTGTCTCTTGACAAGCTGAGAGAGTGAAAACATTTTAAAATATATAAATAAAAGGCCGGGTGAGGTGGATCAAGCCTGTAATCCCAGCACTTTGGGAGGCCAAGGTGGGTGGATCACGAGGTCAAGAGATCGAGACCATCCTGGTCAACATGGTGAAACCCTGTCTCTACTAAAAATACAAAAATTAGCTGGGCATGGTGGCGCGTGCCTGTAATCCCAGCTACTCGGGAGGCTGAGGCAGGAGAATTGCTTGAACCCAGGAGGCGGAGGTTGCGGTGAGCCGAGATCGCGCCATTGCACTCCAGCCTGGGTAACAAGAGCAAAACTCCGTCAAAAAAAAAAAAAAAAATATATATATATATATATGAATAAATACACAAAAGAAACTATAACTATGGTGGAGAGACAGGAGGTCAGGAATAGGAAAGACTTACTTTTCAAGTACATCCTTTTGTATCTTTTGAATGTTGTGCCACATACATAGGTTACCTGTTCCAAAGAATACATTAAAATATTTTTGTCTTTTTTTTTTTTCTTGAGACAGAGTCTCACTCTGTTGCCCAGCCTAAGTGCAGTGCCAAGATCATAGCTCACTACAGCCTTGAACTCTTGGGCTCAGGCGATCCTCTCGCTTCAGCCTCCCGAGTAGCTGGGACTATAGGTATGCACCACCATTCCTGGCTAATCTGTTTTTGTTTATTTATTTATTTTATAGAGATAGGTCTCGCTATGGTGCCCAGGCTGGTTTCAAACTCCATCCTCCTACCTTGGCCTCCCAAAGTGCTGGGATTACAGGTGTGAGCCACCGTGCCCAGCAAAATAATACAGTTTTTTTTTTTTTTTTTTTTTGAGACAGAGTCTTGCTCTGTTGCCCAGGCTGGAGTGCAGTGGCATGATCTTGGCTCACTGCAACCTCTACCTCCCAGGTTCAAGCCTCAGCCTCCCAGGTAGCTGGGATTACAGGTGTGCACCACCACGCCTGGCTAATTTTTGTATTTTTAGCAGAAATGGGGTTTCACCACGTTGGCCAGGCTGGTCTTGAACTCCTGACTTCAAATGATCTGCCTGCCTTGACCTCCCAAAGTGCTGGAATTACAGGCATGAGCCACTGCACCAGGCCAATATTTCTAAAGTAAAAGTAAGCATTAGGTTTCCTTTGTGGCTTTCCAGGATAAGAAAAGAGGCAGGACAAAGGGAGCTGGTGAGTTTAGCAAGGTTGTTTATGGCCTGGGTACAGGGGGCCTGCAGTGGGGGGAGGGGGACAATCTGGTCAAGGAACCTGCCGAGTCCTGTCTCCTGTGCTCTCTTCTCATGGTGCTTGCTCAATCAAACCCAGCCCTGCTTGCTTCCAGAAAGACTTGTTGAAGGCAGGTGTTAGTGAGGCTGGAGCTCAAGTCAGTTGCAGAGGAAAATGACAGACCGTGCTGAGCCCTGGTTTGTCTAGAGGCAGGACGCTTTTGCACCAGTCACCCAGTTATTCAGTAAATATTGACTATCGACTATAGATTGTAGGGATAGGCTGGGTGTGGTGGCTTGTGCCTGTAATCCCAGCACTTAAGGAAGCCAAGGTGGGTGGATCACGAGGTCAGGAGATGGAGGCCAGCCTGGCCAACATGGTGAAACCCTGTCTCTACTAAAATACAAGAAAGCCAGGTGTGGTGGCATGTGCCTGTAGTTCCAACTACTAGGGAAGCCGAGGCAGGGGAATCGCTTGAACCTGGGAGGCAGAGGTTGCAGTGAGCCGAGGTCGCACCACTGTGCTCTAGCCTGGCAACAGAGCAAGACTCTGTCTCAAAAAAAGTAAAAAAAAAAAAAAAAAAATTGTAGGGATATAACCAGGACCAAGGTGGATGAGCTATGACTTCACAGCCTCATAGGAAAGATAAATATACAGACAATCCCCATCCAGAGAAACTGACATAGGGACAGGGGACGGCCAGAAAGCGGTTGGAACTCAAGATCCTATGAGGTAGGAGGGAACAAAGATTAACACCTCACTTCCCAGAGGAGGTGTTGTCTCAGCTGAGACCCGAAAGATAGGGAGGAGTTAGCCAGGTCAAGCGTGGGGGCAAGAGTATTCCAGGCAGAGATGTGTGCCAAGGCTGGGAGGCAGTCCAGAGTGTGGCACATTCAGAAAAGAAATCATTATACCAGCCTGGTCAACATGGCAAAGCCATGTCTCAAAAAAAAAAAAAAAAAAAAAAGGAATGGTGGCATGCACCTGTAGTCCCAGCTACTCAGGAGGCTGAGGCAGGAGGATCGATTGAGCCCAGGAGTTTGAGGCTGCAGTAAGCCGAGATCAAGCCACTGTACTCTAGCCTGAGTGACAGAGTGAGACCATGTCTCAAAAAAAAAAAAAAAAAAAGAGAGAAAGGAAAGAAAGAAACCATTCCACCAAAAATACACCCACACTTGTGTGTTTATTACAACACTATTCACAATAGCAAAGACACAGAATCAACCTAGGTGCCCACCAACAGTCGACTGGATAAAGAAAATGTGGTACATATATGTTGTGGAATACTATGCAGCCAGAAAAAAGAATGAAATTATATCCCTTGCAACAACATAGATGCAGCTGGAGGCCATTATCCTAAACAAATTAATGCAGAAACAGAAAATCAAATGCCACATGTTCTCATTTGTAAGTGAGAGCTAAACACTGGGTATCTATGTACATAAAGATAAGCATAATAGACACTGGGGCCTCCAAAAAAGGAGAGGGAGGGAAAGGGTTGAAAAATTACCTATTGCTGGGTGCAGTGGCTCACGCCTGTAATCCCAGCACTTTGAGAGGCCAGGGCAAGCAAATTGCTTGAGGCCAGGAGTTCGAGACCAACATGGCGAAACCCCATTGCTACTAAAATACAAATAAAAATTAGGTGGGCTTTATGGCGCGCACCTGTAATCCCAGCTACTCAGGAGGCTGCGGCACAAGAATCACTTGAACCCAGGAGGCGGAGGTTGCAGTGAGCCAAGATTTCACCACTGCTCTCTAGCCCGAGTGACAGAGTGAGACTATCTCGAAAAAAAGAAAAAAGAAAAAAAACTAAGGCTGGGCATGGTAATCCCAGCACTTTGGGAGGCCAAGGTGGGATCTCTTGAGCCCAGATGTTCAAGACTAGCCTGGGCAACATAGTGAAATCTTGTTTCTACAAATAAATAAATAAGTAAGTATTAGCTGGGGCTGGGCACGGTGGCTCACGCCTGTAATCCCAGCACTTTGGGAGGCCGAGGTGGGGGGATCACAAGATCAGGAGATCGAGACCATCCTGGATAACACAGTGAAACCCTGTCTCTACTAAAAATAAAAATAAAATAATTTTAGAAAAAGAAAAGAAAAAAATTACCTGGGCATGGTGACTTCAGCATGCAGTCCCAGCTACTTGGGGGGCTGAGGAAAACAATCTCTTGAGCCTGGGAGGTCAAGGCTGCTGTGAGCTATGATCACACCACTGCACTCCAGCCTGGGTGACAGAGTGAGACAGTCTCAAAAAAAAAAAAAAAAAAAAAAATTAAAAAGAAAGAAAAAAGAAAAATGAACCAACAGGTATTTTTATTCTTATCTTTTACAGAAGGGATTCTGTGTTACCCAGGTTGGAGTGTAGCAGCATGATCATAGCTCTCTTCAGCCTTGAACTCCTGGCCTTCTGTGATCCTCCCACCTCGGCATCCCAAAGTGCTGGGATTACAGGCCTGAGCCCCTGAGCCTGGCCTAACAGGTCTCAATTTGGTGTTAATTAGGTGAGAGAGAAGGATCCGGGATGATTCTTAGGTTTATGTGTTGGGCAGACCATCTAGAGGAAGGATGGGACCATCTGCTGAGATGAAAAGATAGGAAAAGAGCAGGTCTGGAGTAGCAGAACCAGGGACTCCATTTGTGATCCATCGAGATGCTTTTGGCCATCACAAACAGACATCAAGTAGGAAGCTGGATACAGGAGTCTGGAGCTCCGAGGAGAGGTCTGAGCTGGAAATATACATTTGTGAGTCACTGGCATATAGATGATATTTAAAGCCACAAGTATGGATGAGATCACCTAGGCAGTGAATATAGATAGCACAAGGCCCCAGTCTGAGCTGGCTGGAGAAGGAGTCCCGAGAATTGGTGAGTGTGTCTCCGAGACTCTGAGTTGGGGACAGGTGCAGCTGCTGGGAGGGAGATGGAATGGAAAGAGAGGGAACCATTCGATTTGGCAGATTATAAACTCATTCATGGACTTGATCAAAGCAACTTCAGTGGAGTGGTGGGGACGAAGCCAGATTAGAAGAGGTGAAGAACTGGCCTGGCATGCTGGTTTACAGCTGAAATCCCAGCACTTTGGGAGGCAGAGGTGGGCAGATCATCTGAGTCAGGAGTTTGAGACCAGCTTGGCCAACATGGCAAAGCCCTGTCTCTACTAAAAATACAAAAATTAGCCGGGCATGGTGCCAGGTGCCTGTATAATCCCAGCTACTCAGGAGGCCGAAGTGGGAGAATCACTTGAACCTGGGAGGCGGAGGTGGCTGTGAGCAGAGATCATGGCACTGCATTCCAGCCTGGGTGACAGAGTGAGACTCTATCTCAAAAAACAACAACAAAGAAAAAAAGAAGAGGTTGAAGAGTCCATTAAAGGTGAGGGAGTAGAGACACAGGTACAGATGACCCAGAGTTGCCCGTCTACACTAGAATGCTGCACATCTGTGAGTTCCCTCCCTTGTCATTCCTGAAGGCAGGACTGTGCCCTGATGATTTCTGAGCCATAAATGGAGTCCAGCCAGTGCATAGCGGGAGCTCAGCACGTTTATTTCATGGTTGGATAAATGAGTGAATGGATAATGCATTGTTTGGGTCAAAATAGCCTTTTCTGGGAAAGACAGTAGCCATATGTTTTGAGGCATTTGCGGAAACAAAAAGTCAACCCCAAAGGCCATAGGCTCTGTGTCCCTTCTCTCAGCTAACCTCAAGGAGCAGTTTGCACATGGGCCTGGGGCATGAGCCCTGGCCCAGCATCGGGAACTAGGTTATTTATTTATTGAGACACAGTCTTGCCATGTCACCCAGGCTGGAGTGCAGTGGCATGATCTCGGCTCACTGCAAGCTCCACCTACTGGGCTCAAGCAATTCTCCTGCCTCAGCCTCCTAACTAGCTGGGACTACAGGTGTGCATCACCACATCCAGCTTTTTTTTTTTTTTTTGAGACAGAGTCTTGCTCTGTCACCCAGGTTGGAGTGCAATGGTACCATCTTGGCTCACCGCCCAACCTCCCCCTCCTGGGTTCAAGCGATTCTCCTACCTTAGCCTCCCAAGTGCCTGCCACCACACCGAGCTAATTTTTTTTTTTTTTTTTTTAAAGTAGAGATGGGGTTTCACCATTCGGCCAGGCTGGCCTCAAACTCCTGACCTCAGGTGATCCACCCATCTTGGCCTCCCAGCGTGCTGGGATTACAGGCTTGAACAACCTCGCCCAGCCTTTTTTTTTTTTTTTTTTTTGAGACAGTTTTACTCTGTTGCCCAGGCTGGAGTGCAGTGGCGTGATTTAGGCTCACTGCAACCTTTGCCTCTTGGGTTCAAGAAGTTCCGCTGTCTCAGCCTCTCTAGTACCTGGGACTATGGGTGCATGCCATCGCGCCCACCTAATTTTTGTATTTCTAGTAGAGACGGGGTTTCACTATATTGGTCAGTCTGGTCTGGAGCTCCTAACTTCAAGTGATCCACTTGCCTCGGCTTCCCACGGTGCTGGGATTATAGGCGTGAGCCACCACACTTAACCTTTTTTTTGATTTTTAGTAGAAATGAGATTTTGTCATGTTGGCCAGGTTGGTCTCGAACTCCTGGCATCAAGCGATCCTCCCATCTAGTCCTCTAAAAGTGCTAGGATTACAGCCATGAGCACCATGCCTGGCCCAAAAACCAGGTTACTGAGTCCCTTCTGACATCTCTCATATGCCCTGTAGCTTTGGATGAATCCCTTCCTCTTTCTTAGAAGTGACCCACATGGTGGTTCACACTTGTAATCCCAGGACTTTGGGAGGCCAGGGTGGGAGGATCACTTATGCCCAGGAGTTTGAGACTAGCCTGGGCAACATAGCACGTCTCCATCTGTACAAAGAAAAAAAAAGGTAGGCTGGGTTCTGTGACTCACACCTGTAATCCCTTTGTAAACACTTTGGGAGGACAAGGCAGGCAGATCACTTGAGGTCAGGAGTTCAAGACCAACCTGGCCAACATGGTGAAACCCCATCTCTACTAAAAATACAAAAATTAGCCGGGCATGGTGGTGGGTGCCTGTAATATCTCAGCTACCTGGGAGGCTGAGGCAGGAGAATCTATGGAACCCCAGGAGGTAGAGGTTGCAGTGAGCCAAGATTGCACCACTGCACTCCACCCTGGGTGACAAATAGAGACTCCATCTCAAACAAAACAAAAATAGACAGGTGTGGTGCATGCCTGTGGTCCCAGCTACTCAGGACGCTGAGGTTAGAGGGTCGCTTGAGCCCAGGAGGTCAAGGCTGCACTCCAAACTTGGGTGACAGAGGAATACCCGGTCTCAAACAAAGGAAAAGGAAGCTGCCAGCACAGCATGGGGGAAGCAGACATTTGAGCCAGTCCCATAGATATTAGTTTCCCTCCTCTTCCCCGCACCCCCTTTTGTTTTGTCTCTCTGGGCTTTTTACTTGTTTAGGAACTTGAAGCGGTTTATGGCAAGTACCCCGAGTCCTAGCCCACCCGTTCTCTGCACACGGTTGCTGCGGAGGACACGCGCATAGACACACGCCTGGCTTTGGGGGAAGTCGTGGCACTGGGTCTGCAGAGTCCGCTGAGCACCCATCTTAGTCGTGAAACTTAGGAGAGACCCTGGAGTGTCCTTGGGCTTGGGTAGGGTGGAACACGCCCGTGACAGACAGGCCCACCTGCCGATCAGAAGGGAACTGTCCTGAGCTGAGATTGGGCCTCAGGAGTGGAAATGGCTGGTGGGGAGTGGCAGAGACGGGAGATGGGGAGGACACGGGGGAGCCGCCGGCCACAGAAGGGGAAACGGAGGTGCAGGGAGCGGAGTCTGCCAAGGCCGCGTGGATGGCCAAGAGATATGCCTCGGAAAGGGCCGGGAGACTTCCTCTGACAATCCCCCGACGGCCATTCCCAGCCATCCGTTTTCGTGCAGCCGCAGATGCAACCTGTGGAAGAGGCGGGAGGAGGCCCGTGAGTCCGCCCGGCTGCGCCTTCCCGCGGGTGGGAGCCGAGACTCAGCCGCGGACGCTGCTGCCATCTAGTGGGAGATGGCTGCTACTCCTCTCGGTTCCTAACCCCAGGGTCGTTCCTGGTTGGGCACTGAGGCAGGTCTGGGGGAGGTTGGGGGAGATCCCTGTGCCCCTGGATCTGGGGGCACGATGCAAGGGGGAGCCTCAGGAAGGAACACCGCCCCCAGGAAGTAACACCGCCCCCAGGAAGTGTGCATTGCCCACACTATTTTTCCCCACTGTGCTGTGATTCCGTCCCGTGTATAAGGGAAGCAAGAGTACCTGCCTCTGGACTGGGCTCAGTGGCTCACTCCTGTAATCCTAACAGTTCGGGAGGCCGAGGCGGGCGGATCATCTGAGTTCAGGAGTCAGAGACCAACCTGGCCAACATGACGAAACCCCATCTGTACTAAAAATACAAAAATTAGCCAGACGGTGGTGAGCGCCAGTAATCCCACTATTCAGGATGCTGAGGCAGGAAAATCGCTTGAACCCAGGAAGTGGAGGTTGCAGTGAGCCTAGATCACGCCACTGCACTCCAGCCTGGCCGACAGAGTGAAACTCATCTCAAAAAAAAAAAAAAAAAAAAAGGAGTACCTGGCTCCAAGGATCAGCCCAAGGGTAAATAAATCAATCTGTGCAAGGGACTTGGTCATAAATGGAGTCCAACCAGCATAGTAATAGGTGTTCAATAAATGCTACCCGCTGGGCATCATGGCCCATGCCTGTAATCTCAGCATTTTGGGACGCTAAAGCTGGAGGATCGCCTGTCAGGAGTTCAAAACCAACCTGGGCAACATAACAAGACCTAATCTCTTCAAAACATGCAAAAATTAGCCAGGCATGGTGGTGCATGCCCATGGTCCCAGCTACTCACTTGAGCCCAGGAGTTCATGGTTGCAGTACGCTGTGATCACACCACTGTACTCCAGCCTGGGTGACAGAGTGAGACCCTGTCTCTGAAAATAAATAACATAGGCCAGGCTCGGTGGCTCACTCCTGTAATCCCACCACTTTGGGATGCCAATGCGGACGGATCACCTGAGGTCAGGAGTTCGAGACCAGCCTGGCCAACAGAGTGAAACCTTGTTTCTACTAAAAATACAAAAATTAGCTAGGTGTGGTGGTGCGTGCCTGTAATCCCAGCTGCTTGGGAGGCTGAGGCAGGAGAATCGCTTGAGCCAAGGGGGCGGACACTGTAGTGAGCTGAGATTGCGCCATTGCACTCCAGCCTTGGTGACAAATGGAGACCCTGTCTCCAAAAAAAAAAAAAAAAGAAAAGAAAAGAAAAGAAAGAAAATAAAACAGATATTACTTGTGGCTGATCCAAGCAAGGGGTAATTGGAGGCGTGTGACCCTGTGCTGCCACCCCAAACTGTGCCTGCTGTCCAAATGCAGCTTTCCTTAGTTCTGGCTTTCAGCAAGATGTCCCTGCCACCATCCCTCCTCTTTGTAAATGCTGGGGCTGCCACCGTTATGGTTTTATCATCAGTGACATTCCAGAGGATGAAGGCCTCTCCTCTCCTCTTCTGATGAGGATGAGGGATGAGGGAGGGGTCCCAGTTCCTAGCACTTTCTCCCCTCACCCCAAAGTGCCATCAGAACAGCTCTGGACTATGACATCACAGAGCCTCCACCTCATGATAGGAGTCATGAGGCTGAGGCCACAGCTGCTGGTGTGGGCGTGGTTGGCTGCTCTGGGGGCCATCGAAACTGGTGAGAAGGTGTTTTGGGAGCAGCGGGAAGGCAGGCAGCTCTGGGACATAAAGAGGGATGCCCGCCTAGGGACTGAGAACAGAACCCTGCCCCCTCTCCTTTTCTCTCCACTCTTCTCTCCCATCCTGCGGGTCCCTCCCATCCCCCTGACAACCGGGGGCCTTGTCGTGGCGCACTCAGCTGACCCTGAGGGAAATCAAGGCCCTCCACAGCCACAATAAGGCTGGGTGGTCTCACAGGGTCCCAAGTCAGCCCCTGCCTCGAGAATTAAAGGCAGGAGTCCTCTTGGCCGTTGTCACAGACTTTGCTTGGGCCCTAGCACCCAGACCCAAGCATGCCATGGTGTCCGCCCTAAAGACAAAGTCTCCGAGCTTCTTAGACAGACCTGACTTCTTCGATTATCCAGACTCGGACAAAGCCAGGCTCCTGGCTGTGGCCCAGTTTATTGGAGAGAAACCTGTCGTGTTCATTAACTCAGGTATGAACCAGCTTGAGAAGGGGCCTCCCTCCTCGCTGGGTCCTGGAGGAGAGCAGCCCTGGACCCATCCATTGGGCCATCAGAAGGGAGTTAATGGTCCTGCTTGTCTAGCAGGTTCCAGCCCCGGACTCTTCCATCACATCCTGGTGGGCTTCCTGGTGGTGGTGTTCTTCTTCCTCCTTTTCCAGTTCTGCACCCACATGTAAGGCCTGCCCCCTTCCTCTGACCCTACCCACCTCCATCTTGCTTGGGAATGTCTGAAGACCCCAGTCCTAGTGGGGCAGTGTGTGACCTCCCCCCCCCGATCTCCATGCCCCACAGAAACTTCCAGAAAGGGGCCTAAAGAGCCAGACAAGGGACCCGGACTCAACCTGAGCGTCCAAATGCATCTTCTCTCCTGTCGATGAGTAAAAGTCCCCACTTTCCTCCTCCCAGCGAGCAACCAGCGGTCCTGCCCTCTCTGTGTTTCCCATAGCCCAAGCCCCTCACCTCCTCCCTTCCCGGCCCCAAAGAACTTGGTGATCAGGGCCTTGGTGGCGTTCACGTTCACGCAGATCGTTTTTTATTAGCGGTCTGTAAAGCACCTCCCAGGGTCCCCCGACCCCAGATTGGAGGAAGCCTTGAGAGGTCAGTAGCACCAGGGACATGCCAGGGCCCGAGGGCTCGATGTGCAGCTTATGGTGAGGGACGGGGTGCCCCTCGCCTGCCCCCGGGGTTGTCAGCACTGGGAAGGCTTGCGGGTAGCAGCCACCTTCCAACCCCAACCCAACAGACTAGTTCAAATTTGGGTAAATAAATAAAATAAATAAGATTCCTCAAGCTGGCCTAACTGGAGAGGAGCCATGGGGGCAGCCGGCCACTCGGGAGACCCTAGAGCCAGTGGGGGTTAGTTGGGGCATCCTCTCTTCCCGGGTGATGGGGAGCCGGGGTTGGGGGTGGCAGCAGAGGGGCTGGGATGGCCTTGGCAGCAGCGCCTTCCAACATTCTGACTCCTGGTTCCCCTTGAAACCCTGTCGATTTGCCCCACAACAAGCCCTCCCACCCTCACTGGGTGGGAGGTGGTGCCCCCTCCCCTCCTCCATCGCAGGGGTGTGCAGGAAGTGGGCACAGTGGGGAGAAGAGGTCCCCTCTCTCCTGCCCTCAGCCCCCGAGAGATGGCCCCTCTTCCCTTTCGGGCTCATCATCAGTCCTGGGGCTCTCCAGACAAGAGGGCCCTGGCTCCCACCCGCAGCCAGCAGCCCCAGAGCCCTGTCCCCATGGGGCTGAGGGTGGGGAGGAGGAGGGTCCTCAGTCCTGGGTCTGGCAGGCCGGGGGTGGCCGGGAGCGGGGCCAGAAGAGCCGGCAGGCCCCACGGCAGATGAGGAAGAACCAGTAGAGCTGGGGGGCAAGGAGCAGCGCGGCGCCCAGGTTGACATGAGCTGGGATGGCCAGGGGCACAGCCAGCAGGGGCAGGCCGGCGTGGCGCCCGTAGGCCCAGTACAGGTAGGGGAAGAGCAGCACCCGGCAGCACAGGAAGCTGAGCAGCATCAGGGCCCCGTTGACCTTGTGCAGCAGCGTGTGCTGCTGCTTGTACTGCAGGGACACAAACTCGGTGGCCATGGCAGCAGAAGGGCTCGCCCCCTCCCCACCCGCTTCCTGCCTCCCCACTACCCCAGCAGTCAGCTCCTCCCCGACCGAACATTTTGCCAGGACACAAGCACCAGCTCAAAGGGCATGGAAGGGATGACAGAGGGGCCAGAGCCCTCGGCAGCAGCCCTGGAGGTCCCTCCCCTTCCTGTGCCCTCCCCTTGGGCTCCCGCATCCTCCCCTGCCCACTCACCTGGATGAGGATCTTGCCAAGGCAGACGAAGGGCGTGCTGACCTCTGCCATCAACATGCAGCCCAGAAAGAAGTCTCCCTTCCCCTGTCGCCACACCTGAGCAGAGAAGCAGGAAGGTGAGTGGTTGGCTTCCCCTGGGTTCTTGGGCAGCCCCTCCCTTCCTGTCTCCCCTTTGTCGCTTTTGGAGATGCTTGACTCTGAACATCAGAACACCTGGGTGCAAAGCTGGGAGCGGTGACTCACGCCTGTAATCCCAACACTTTGGGAGGCTGAGGCGGGCGGATCATGAGGTCAGGAGTTTGAGACCAGCCTGGCCAACATGGTGAGACCCCCGTCTCCACTAAAAATACAAAAACATTAGCCAGGCGTGGTGGCGGACACCTGTAATCCCAGCTACTCAGGAGGCTGAGGCATGAGAATTGCTTGAACTTGGGAGGCGGAGACTGCAGTGAGCCGAGATTGCATCACTGCACTCCAGGTTGAGCAACAGGGTGAGACTTCATCTTGGGGTGGGGGGGAAGAAAGAACACCTGGGTGCAGGAGCAGGTCATGACTTGGCTGCCTCCCTCCCACAGTCCTGCAGAAAGACTGTGTTCCTGACATCATGGGTGAGGAAATTGAGGCTCAGAGACATGCAACCATGCATCCAAAGCACCACAGCTGGGCATCGTCCAGCCCGGGGCCAGGCTGCCCCCACACTCTGGTGCCTCTTGCAACTGAGCTGGGCTGTGAACCCTACTGGTCCACAGCTTTCCCTGGGAACGCGCTGGGTCTGCTTATCTGCTGGTATGCAAACCCAGGGCTTCCCAGACTCCTGAGCACCAGCAGGACCAAAGAGCAGGCCGCCTGCACCCCACCTGCCCAGCTCTCCAGAACTCACCACCGACAGCGGGAAGCACACCAGCACCATGGCGGCGTGGTGGAGCACCATGAGGAACTCCTTGTGCAGGTAGCCGCGCGCGATGGCCCACGTGCTGCCCGGAGCTCTGGCCGCGCCGTCGTCCCCTCCATGCCCTTTCACCTGGTGCTTGTGCCAGTGACAGAGGAACATGGCATAGATGTCATAGATGAAGTAGGGCACAGCGAACTGCGTGTAGGCAGAGGACAGCCAATGTCTGTTGGGCAGAGGAGGTGGGAAGGGGTGCCAGTGAGCGGGGCGGACCGCAGGGGTCAGCTCGGCAGCCCTGGGCATGAGCGGAGTCTCAGGTACAGTGAAGGATCCGAGGGTCACACAATGACGCAGGTCAGGCAGTCACGCAGCTAGTAAGAAATGGTGCTGGGATTCAAACCTGTGGCCTCAGAACCCACCCATGTTCCTCTCTCTCTGCTGTACAGTGGGGGGAAAAGAAGAGACCAGAAGATGCCCACAGACCAAAGGGCACAGATAGAGTGCCAAAATAAACCCAGGCCAGGCGGGCGGGACCTTGCCATGGTTATTTGTCCTAACCTTACCCTGAGGTGAGGATCAGCAATGGCTGAAGGGGTGAGAGTGCTAGAGAGAGATTTCTCGGGAGTGGACACCTGTTCCTGCCTCCCAGGGCAGGTGCTCTTCCAAACCTTCGCATGCATGCACTTATTTACCCCTCCCAAAACCCTGTAAAAGGTAGGTGTGGCCATAATCCCCACTACACAGATGAGCAAGTGAGTCACAGAGGGGCTAGGTAACCTGGCCAAGGAGGGGACACGGGCAATCTGGCTCCAAAGCCCTCACTCTCAGCCCCGCTGTCCCCAGAAGATCTCAGAGGCATCAGAGGCCCTGTTTGCTGGCAAGTGAGAGGTCTTCTCAGCGCTGTTCACCCTGCCCCAAAGTGACCCAATCTCCTGTCTGTTTTGTGTTGTTTTTCAGGGACAGCCAAGCGTTAAGGGGAAAATGCAGAGCAAAAGGAGCCAAGGACAGAGAAAGTTCCATGTACTTGGAGAGTAAACAAAAATGAGAAATGGAGAATATGCAAGACTGCATTTTTCTTCTGGAGTCAGCACATTGGCAGTTTCTCTGAAATCCTGTAGTCCTGAGACTGGTCTGGGGTGGGGGCAGGAGTTCAGAGAGGCAGGCCCTGGGGAGCTTGCCCCACGAGGGGGAAGAGGGACAAAAGCAGAGTCAACCAGAGGCCATGACCAAACATGAGGTGCGTGGAGGGAGCCGTAGAGAAGCTGGGGCTGAGGCCTCTGAGGTTGGGGAGCCTGGAGCAACCAGCTTGTGAAGGGAGCCAGCCCATTCTCCAGCAGGGACAGTACCAGGGAAAAGAGAACCGGAGACCATGGTGCAGTGGGGTGGAGCTGAGGCCAGGAGAGATGAGAGGGGAGGGGTAGCTTTGGAGAACATGAGGTGGGAACACTGGGAGAGAGGGTCCAAGTGGCCTGGGGGAGTCAGGGCAGGGAGCAGCCCAGCGAGCTGGCCCAGCAGATGGATGGGAGATGGGAGCACTGGACTGGCGGGGGAGACCAGGAGGGGCCACCAGGCCCTGGGCTGCAATGTGAGGTGTTAAATCCCATCCCCACCTTCTCAGCAATTAGGTGCTCAGAAGTAGGAACAGCTGCTGCCCTGGATTAACCTGGATCCTCCCCACCTACCTGAGGATTAAAGTGGGGAGGAAGGACAGGAACAGACACAGGGGGGCCTGGGGAGCAGCGGGGGTGCAGAAGCCAAAAGGTGACCTCTGTGTGTAAAGACTGGGGAGGAAGCACCTGATCCTGGGCTCAGCTTGGAGCAGGGATGGGAAGGGGCTGGCAGAGGCCAAGAGGCAGCCAAGTCCCTGGGCAGGGTCTGAAGAAAGAGTTAAGCCAAGAAGTGTCCTCCGAGGCGGCCACCTAACTCAATTCCTCTTGCTGAAGCCCTTCCAGGAAGGGCCAGTGCCTCGCCACAGAGGAGACAACTCATCTTCGGGAAAAGAGGAGGCAAACAGAAATACCCCCCACCAGGGGCATCCGGAGAATGTCCCCTGGGTCTCAGTGGCTGCCAGGGAAGTGAAGCAGGGCTGAAAGCTATGAGGAGGGCATTGTGGACGCCTCCCAGACAACTTGCAACGGGCCGCCCGTGGGTCACCTGGGGTGGCCGTCAGCACCACGGACAGGGCCTATCTCCTCCCCGTTCTCAGCTTCCTGCCTGCACACCCCTGAGCCTTTTTGGCAAGCGCCAGACACTGCAGCAGCTGCCTGGCCACAGTTTGGCCTCCTCGCCCTCATCCCCTCCCCCACTACCTGGCGCGTGTGGCCTTGTGCGTGTCATCTCTCCCATCTCCTCTCCCTCATGCGTGGAGCAGGTGCCAAATGCCTGGATTCTGTGAGGGGCTACAGGGTAAGCCTGGCGTGAGGAGGGGGTGCCCCACCTGGGTGCTGGCTGTAAATGGGGCCTGCCTCCTGGGGCGGAAGGCTGGAAGGAGGTGGGGAACCCGTGACACCACGGGAGACCTGGAAGCTACTAGGAAGTGCTTTGAGGATCCTCTCTGATCCCCACTCCTTCCCACCTTGGCGCTGCCCTTTAAATTCATCCTGGGGTGCCGAGTTGCAGTTATTGCAGTCAACTTGCTCCAGCCCAAGTTAAGACCTTAGGGACCCCGGACAGAGTTCCCTCCAAGATGTGGGGTCTTCTAGGGTCACCCGTACACACCAACCACTGGCACCTGGGCAGAGGGGTCTCATGGCACTTACTGGTCATCGATGATGTGCTTGCAGGAGGTGGAGACGATGTAGCCGGCGGTGGAGGCCATGATGGCCTGGACAGAGGACACCAGCCTGGGGGAGAGAGGGGTGCGCTAGAAGGGCCGAAGGGAAGAGGTGTGTGCCTCCATTTCTCCTCGTTGCTAGTCTTGTGACTGCGCTTTAGTTCAGCCACTGCTTGGGCCAGTCTTTGCCTGCCTTCTCCAAGGCTGGGCTAGCCCAAGATGTGCCCCACCACTGCCACCTCACAGCCCTCTGGCCCGCTTGGCTGCTGTTCCTCAGCCCGCCCCCCTCCTCGCCACCTTCTCCCTTCCCCTTCCCTGTGTGTAGAAGCCGAGTCTCCCTCTTCTCCAGGCAGCAGGGAGGTTGTCCTGAGGTGAGACTCTGCCAAGAGTGAGCTGCTGGTTGGGCCTCTCCCGAGAGGAGACCCTGGGCCAGTTCCTGCACTGCTCAGCTGCCCAGTCATGACTCGCGCCTTGCTCTGGCCCCTTTGTGACCCCGAGCTCCCCAGTCACTGTCTCACTGTCTCCTTGACTGCCACCAGCCTCCCCTCCGCACTCCAGCCCCGTTTAGGGGTGTAGAGTTCTACCATCCACGCCTCCATTCCTGGCCCCCAAACACTAGCCCTGAATGACACCTAGCTGTCTGGCCCTGGCCTCGGTCTCTAATGTTTTATAGGAATGTCTTCCCCACCTGCTGGCCCTGTTTTGGAAGGTGGGAGGGTCTATGGGGAAGGAGAGAGAGGCAGGCTGAACACTAGCAGACTAGATGGCCTGCTGGACGAGGTCTCCCAGGACAGCAAGCAAGGCAGGCAGTGAGGAGGGAGGAAGCTTGGGGGTAAAGCCCCAGAACCCCCACAGGAGCTCCCAGTCCCCACCCACTGAGGAGCCAGGGAAGTGCTGGGTCCCTTCCATCCCCTGAGAAGCCCAGGAAGCCGAGAGGGGCTGAGGTGAAGGAAAGCCGTTTACCTGGCTGAGACAATGACCGCGTCGGCCTCCTCCCAGCGCAGCTGGGGCAGCCTCTGGAGCGTGCTCTTGGAGAGGAGGAAGAGTCCAGGGAACACCACCCCCCCGGCCACCATCGGGGTCAGCATGGTGGCTCAGGACTTGGGCAGAGAGGCAGGAGGGCCGTGAAGGGGCAGGAAGGCCAAACGGAAGGAATTAGGGGTGGAGAAGGGACGCCAAGCCCAGGAAGGAGAGAGAAAACAACGGGTAGGGGCACAAAGGGGACAAGGCGGGGACGGGATGGGGCCAGGGCACCAGAGCCGAGAAGGGAGTCCGATGACACTGGGGAGTCGGGAAGGGGCCAGCTGACCAGAGACGGGGGAGGGGAGGACGGGAGAAGGGGAACAGGAGCAGGCCAGTGAGGGATGGGGAGAGGCGAGGAGGGGACGGCTTGGTGAGGGACAGAGGAAGAGGGGACAGGAGGAGGAGGGTGCAGATGGGGGAGGGGAGGGAACCACCAGGCAGGTGGGGAGGGGAGGCTTACGTGAGAGGCTGGGAGGGCCTGAGGAGGCGGGGAGGGGGTGGGGGTGGGTCCGGGTGCCAGCCCCGAAGGAAGGAGGTGGGCGGGAGGGAGCGGAGGAGCAGCCGGGCTAGTGGTCAGCGGTCACCGCCGCTGTCCCGGCTCCACTGCCTCCTCTCTCTGCCTCCCCGCTCCCCGCCGCCCAGCATGGACACATCATAGAGACTCCATGCCCAGCCCCCTGCCCCCTCGGTGGGGAGGGGGAGGGGGAGGGGAAGTGACCAGCTAGGGGAGGGCGGGGGAGGGGCGGGGAAATGATGGCACCGACCAGACACCCAGAAACCGGACCTGCAGCAGCGTCTCCCCATGCAGCTCTGAGCCACAGCCGCGCGGCTGCGACAGAGATGGGGGGAGCAGAGAAAGAGGGAGGGGGAGGCCCTTAAAGGGACAGCAGCTGCGGTGGCACAGGGGGCTGCTGGGGACAGGGGCCCGGGGAGGGCCGGCTCTTCTCTTGGGGATAAAGGGGGCCTGGGGCTCCTAGGCCAGCTGGGAGTGAGCCCTGAGCCCCCACTGGACCTGACTTTGTTTCCCATCAGCACTTTGCAAATGCCTGGCATCTCTCCCCTTGCCAAGCATCCCTCTGTGGCCTGCCCCGGGTCCAGCTTCGGGTGCCCACTCCGGCGGAAGAGAGGGTTCCCCGGGAGAGGGAGCAGGAGCAAGTGATGCTTTCTCAGAAGGCAGAGTGGAAGAAGGGGATGGGAGCAAAGGCATCTCAACACAGCATCCTCAGACCCAGAGGCCCTTCACCAGCTGGCAGGGAAGGAAGCTGACACTGGCCAGAGGGGACTCCTGACTGCTGCCGGGCTGCCTGGGTCCTGTCTGCCGCAGAAGCTCCCAGGGCGCTGCGTCTGTCCTTCCCACAGGGCCAGCAGCAGTCCCGAGGCTCCTCTCATTGCAGGCGTCGGAGCGGCAGGGAGGATGGAAGAAGTGCTGGGGAACGGGGGAGGCTGCCTCTCAGGAAGTCCCAGGGAGCCCCAGGACTCTCGGCTCTGTTCTTCAGGCTGCCCGCCCCTCCTGGCCTCCCCTAATTTCCCAACCCTCTAGGGCCCCTTCCTCTGCAACGTCCACAGCCAGCCTAGTTTCAGAGTGGGAAAGGACCCCGGGGTGGGCTGGTGCAAGCCCCTCACTGCCCCCTAAGGAAAGTGAGGCCTGGGGACCGGGCCAGGATCGAGCTGTGGGGCCGGAGCTAGAGGCGCTGCTGCCTTGAACTTCTGCCCTCCTGTCCTGATCCCAACTGTCCTGTGAACTTCAGCATGGCAAGGGCCTGCTCTGCAAACTCCTTGGGCCTCGAAGCTCAATTATCAACCCTGTGCTTTACCTTTCTCTGTCCAGAGCCCACTCCTCGCCTCCCCCAAGAAAGGCCGGGGACTGGGATTTGCTGTTTTGTGCTGCCCTCTAGCGGCAATTTATAGGAAAGCCCCAGGAAGTCTCACCTTAGGCCGATTTAGAGCGGGTTTAGAGACAGTAGCGGACCTGACTCCTGACCTCAGCGCTTCACCGGAGGGGGAAAGGGGATCCAGCTCCCTGAGTTTTTACTACATGCTAGGGACAGTACCAGGTGATTTCTACTGATTCTTAATCTTCCTACGTGGTGGTATCCCTGTTTTATAGAAGAAACAGGTTTAGAAATTTTGAGGGTTTTTTTTTTTTTTTTTTTGGTCAGGGTCTCATTCTGTCCCCTAGGCTGGAGAGCAGTGGTGCGATCATGGCTCACTGCAACCTCAACCTTTCCGGGCTCAAGTGATCCTCCTACCTCAGCCTCCCGAGTAGCTGGGACTACAGGTGCACACCACCATGCCCAGCTAATTTTTGTATTTTTCGTAGAGATGGGGTTTCACCAAGTTGCCCAGGCTGGTCTCAAACTCCTGGGCTCAAGCGATCCACCCGCCTCTGCCTCCCAACATGCTGAGATTACAGGTGGGAGCCACCACCCCTGGATGAAAGTTGGGTTTCTAACCCATGAACCCCAAAGCCACACATGAACAAAACTGCAAAAAAGACTGAGGTTGGGGAGGCTGGTGATGGGTGATCACTGTCACTACTCGATTGAGGACTACAAGGCTGGTCATGGAACTGTGGTTTCACTTTGGATGAGTAGAGACGGTTTTTTGTTGTTGTTTGCCAGGGAATCCAAGTAGACACCCTAGTAAGATCTGTGTTCTGTGTACTCCCTCCCTTCTGATGGCTTGCTGATAATACACATTTATGGTAAGCTTAGCCACACAGGCTATAGATCTGCAGCCGAAGGTCCCAGCTCAGCCCACAGACATGTTTTCTTTGGCCAGTATGTAGCTGTCAGTATAGGAGTTCTTAAATAAATTCTAAATTACTTATTAGTGTTTAAGAATTGGGAGAAGCTGGGCACAGTGACTCAGGCTTGTAATCTCAGCACTTTGGGAGGCTAAGGTAGGCAGATCACCTGAGGTCAGGAGTTCGAGACCAGCCTGGCCAACATGTGAAACCCCGTTTCTGCTAAAAACACAAAAATTAGCCAGGCGTGATGGCATGCACTGTAATCCCAGCTACTCAGGAGGCTGAGGCAGGAATGTTGCTTGAACTCGGGAGGTGGAGGTTGGAGGTTGCAGTGAACCAAGATCAAGTCACTGAACTCCAACTCAAGTAACAGAGTGAGATTCAGTCTCAAAAAAAAAAAAAAAAAAAAAAAAAAAGCCTGCCAAGCAGAAGATCACCTGAGGTTGGGAGTTCAAGACCAGCCTTGCCAACATGGAGAAACCCCATCTCTACTAAAAAAAAAAAAAATACAAAATTAGCTGGGCGTGGTGGCACATGCCTGTAATCCCAACTACTCGGGAGGCTGAGGCAAGAGAATCACTTGAACCAGGAGGCAAAGGTTTCAGTGAGCCAAGATTGTGCCATTGCACTCCAGCCTGGGCAACAAGAGCAAAAAAAAAAAAAACCTCTGTCTCAAAAAAATAAAAATAAAAACAGAATTGGGAGAGAGCCAGCCACAATGACATGCACCTGCAGTCTCAGCTGCTCAGGAGGCTAAGGAAGGAGGATCACTGAGACCAGGAGTTTGAGACCAGCCTGGGCAACATGGAGAAACCCCATCTCTACCAAAAATCCAAAAATCAGCCAGGCATAGTGGTGGGCACCTGTAGTCGCAGCAACTCGGGAGGCTGAAGAGGGAGAATCACTTGTCAGGATGTCAAGGCTGCAGTGAGCCATGATCATGTCACTGCACTTCAGCCTGGGTGACAGAGTGAGACTCTGTCTAAAAAAAAAAAGAAGAAGACAGGCACAGTGGCTCATGCCTGTAATCCCAGCACTTCAGAGGCTGAGAAGGGAGGATCATGTGAGTCCAGGAGTTTGAGACCAGCTTGGGCAACATAGTGAGAGCCAATCTCTAAAAAAAAAAAAAAAATTAGCCAGGTGTAGTGGTGCCTACCTGTAGCCCCAGCTATGGCAGGAGGCTTGCTTGAGCCCAGGAGTTCAAGGCTGCAGTGAGTCATGATCCTGCTACTGCACTCCAGCCTGGGCAACAGAGCAAGACCCTATCTCAACAACGACAAAGAATCATAAGTCCGAAAACATTGGCCCATGTTCTAACTTATAACATCATCAGTAGGCTGGCACGGAGCCGCGCTGGCCCTCAGCAGAGAAGGTGAGTCCTCCAGCCCACACCATCCCTGCAGAGCCCACATCCTTCATATTATCTGCAGGAGCTTGCAACCCCTGCTCTGCAGATGCTGATTCACATGATCCTCACACATCGCCATGAGGAAAGGGAAGTGAGTGTTACTATTAAGCTCATTAATCAGTGAGGGATCTGCATTTCAGTGAAATTAAATGACTCACAAAAGACCCCACTGTGGTTGTCTTTTTTTTTTTTTTTTTTTGAGACAGAGGCTCGCTCTGTCACCCAGGCAGGAGTGCAGTGGCACACTCTCAGCTCACTGCAACCTCCACCTGCCAAGTTCAAGGGATTCTCCTGTCTCAGCTTCTGGAGTAGCTGGGATTATAGGCGCCCGCCACCACACCCAGCTAATTTTTGTATTTTTAGTTGAGATGGGGTTTCACCATGTTGGTCAGGCTGGTCTCGAACTCCTGACCTCAGGTGACCCACCCACCTCAGTCTCCCAAAGTGCTGTGGTTACCGATGTGAGCCACCGCACCTTCCTGCTGGTGTCTTTTGACTTCAAATCCCAACTCCACCCCACACTGCTTCTGCTATCACCACAAACTCATCCTGAAAGTGAGAGATCAGATCCACCAGCCATGGCCCCAGGAAGGCCACCCTCACCCTGGTCCTCTTACTTGGATGCCACCAGGACAGCCTCTTGTCTCTCCATCTGCAGGCCGGTGTGGTTCTGCAAGCCCCAGCGCAGGACAGTGAAGCACAATGGGAAGAAGACACAGCCCACCGCGAACAGCAAGGCCATGCCTGCCTGCACCGAGAAGGCAGGAGAAGAGGGCCGTGAGACACCTCAGCACAACACCCTCAGACTGCCCGAGGCTTCTTCACCCCCAGAGAGGCAATGGCCCAAGACACCCATCCAACTGCGGCCATCGAAAGCCACCAGGCAAACCTCTTCTCTTAAGCTCTTTCGCATCTTTATGACTCTTTTAATATTCCCCATCTGGGGCAAGTCAACATCCTAATTTCTTGTTTTACACTCAATTTAGACAATTTCTTTTCTTTTCTTTTCTTTTTTCTGGAAACGATGTCTTGCTTTTGTTGTCCAGGAGTGCAGTGGTGCAATCTCGGCTCACTGCAACCTCCACCTCCCAGGTTCAGGCGATTCTTCTGCCTCAGCCTCCCGACGAGTTGGGATTACAGGCTCCTGCCACAATGCCTGGCTAATATTTGTATTTTTAGTAGAGACAGGACTTTACCACGTTGGCCAGGCTAGTCTCGAACACCTGACCTCAGGTGATTCACCCGCCTCAGCCTCCCAAAGTGCTGAGATTACAGGTGTGAGCCGCTGCACCCGGCCTCCTACTGTTAAACTCCACCCTATTCCATCTTCTACATGCCCCAACTGCCGCCCATCCTATGTGACCTCTCCCTTCTCCCCAGACCTCACCACTGAGGGACAGGTTGGAAGACGGAAAAAGGGAGGTTGATGGTTTCTCCTCAGTACCCAAAACTTGGTAAAAGGGAGGCGGTTGTCAAGATACTTGGAACTTTAAAATGACATTTCTTGAAAAAACAAAATAAAGCCAAAGCGATTGTTGTTCCATTAAAAAAGAAAACAAAAGAAATAACAGGCGCAAACCTGAAACTACATATATTTACATAGATATCATTTTTTGCTTAGAAAGATCTCCCCTCCCATCCACTCTGGGGAGCAGAGGCATGGGGCAGGCACAGGCAGGATGAAGGGAATCAGGCCCTGCCATCCTGCCTTCCTGAAGTGACTTCCAAGGGACCTTCTTGGGATAAAAGGAAGGTGTCAAACTGCAGAGGCACGAGGCTGCTCTGTAGAGACAGTTGGGGAGGGCAGGAGTATGTTCTCCCATTGGTGGACTGCCTGGAAGATACCAGCCTCCCATTGGCCAGCCAGTTGATACATGTGCCCTATCATTTGCTTCTTGTGAGGGCTGGAGGGTGGTTCCAGCAAGCCTTGCCTCGAATTGGCCAATTAGAATCCATCGATGACTTGATTGACAGCTACATTTCAGGGACGTGCTCAAAGACTTTTGGAAAAGGAGAGAGTGGAAATAAGAGCAGGTGCAAGGCTGGGCGTGGTGGCTCAAGTCTAATCGCAACACTTTGGGAGGCTGAGGTCGGGCGGATCACTTGAGGTCAGGAGGTTGAGACGATCCGGGCCAACACAGGGAAACCCCATCTCTACTAAAAACACAAAAAATTAGCCGGACGTGGTGTTGGGTGCCTGTAATCTCAGCTACTCGGGAGGCTGAGGCAGAAGAATCCCTTGAACCTAGGAGGCAGAAGTTGCAGTGAGCCGAGATCGCGCCTTGCACTCCAGCCTGGGCAACGGAGACTCCGTCTTATTTAAAAAAAAAAAAAAGGCCACCGGGCACAGTGACTCATGCTCTTAATCCCAGCACTTTGGAAGACTGAGGCGGGCAGATCATGAGGTCAGGAGTTCGAGACCAGCCTAGCTAATATGGTGAAACCCTGTCTCCACTAAAAATACAAAAATTACCCGGGCATGGTGTTGGGCACCTGTAGTCCCAGCTACTGGGGAGGCTGCCAAAGAATCACTTGAACCTGGGAGGCAGAGGTTGCAGTGAGCTGAGATTTCACCATTGCACTCTGCCTGGGCCACAAGTGAGATTCCATCAAAAAAAAAAAAAAAAAAAAAAAAAAAGAGCAGATGCAGTGATTCAGGCCTGGAATCCCAGCACTTTGGGAGGCCAAGGCGGGAGGATCACTTGAG